ATAGCCTAGCAACCTGACCTCAAAGTTAATTATTTTTGGGCCAGGCTACTAGGTTGTTTCCTCAAATAGGTGCTACAAAGAATTTAATGTTAGATTTATTCCAGTTCTCATAAAAGAGCTGTCTTCCTTAAAGCACTGCTACCAGGTTTAAGTACCAGCAGAACATAAGCACCATAAGGTGGGTGAGGTAATATCTTTTTGTGGAAACAAGCTCTCACCAACAAACAGACATTGGGTCAATGAAAGATCAACACTAGAGGCCTGTAGGGGCAGTGTGCTGGGAGGGCTGCTGAGCCCGGAGCCCTGCTTAGGGGGCGGAGCTTGGCTGATTAGGGGGCCTATAAAAGGGGCCTCCCAGCCAAGCAGCGGCACAGCTGCGAGGAGCGGCACCAGGAGCCGGCGAACAGGGCTGCTAACAGGGGAGTTTAAGTGGGAGTTTGCAGGGGGAGCTGGAAGGGGAGGCCAGTGGCTGCAGTGGTCAGTGTGCTCTGTGTCCCCAGAAGCAGCAGCCATGAGCCAAGCAGCAGGGGACACAATGCAGCTGATTGCATGTGGCAGGTGTGGTATGTACAGGGTCCTCACTGAGGAGCCTGACCAAAGGTATGTTTGCATGAAATGCCGCCTAATAGACCTGCTAGAGGAAAAGATTAGAGGGCTCCAGATGCAGGTAGATACTCTGGTAGAGTTTAGAAGGGGATTCGAGCAGCTAATGGAGCAGAAGCTGGGTGTGGCAGAAGGGGAATGCTCAGGGGTGCAGGAGGAAGCACAGGCTATGGTCTGTGAGGGGGGAAGGTCAGGGGCACAGCAAGATCAGTGGAAGCATGTGACTGTGAGGAGCAGGCCAAGGAAAAGGAGGGCTAGTGAGGGGGAAATAGAACTCAGGAACAGGTTTGAGTGTTTGGATAACGAGGAGGGGAGGCAGCAGGTGGTAACCGATGGTGGGAGGCAGAGGAAGAAGAGAAGAGCGGCTAGTCCGATAGAGAGAGGGCAGGAGTTGATGGAGACGGCACCAATACCGGGCCCCAGTAGGATACAGGATGGCACTAGGGGAACTATAAGAGAAAATAGAGAGACACAAGAGGTACGACTACAGGGAACAGGGGATAGATTTGTACAGAGTACTGTCAGCAGGCAAAGGCAGGTTTCTGTGATTGGAGACTCCTTGCTGAGGAGGTTGGACAGGCCTGTGACCAGAGCGGACCCTGAAAACAGAAGGGTGTGCTGTCTGCCGGGCGCTAAGATAAGGGATGTGGACCTGCAGTTGAAAAGGATCCTAAAAGGAGCAGGTAACAACCCTTTGATCATCCTTCACGTAGGAACAAACGACACAGCTAGGTTCTCGCTAGAGAGAATTAAGGGAGATTATGCCAGGCTGGGGAAGACGCTTAAGGAAGTGGAGGCTCAGATTATCTTCAGTGGGATTCTGCCTGTTCCTAGAGAAGGACAGCAAAGGGCTGACGGAATTGGGAGGATAAATAGCTGGCTAAGGGAGTGGTGCTATAAGGAGGGCTTTGGGATGTATGGCCACTGGGAGGCTTTCGGGGACAGACAGCTGTTCTCGCGGGATGGACTTCACCTGAGTAGGGAGGGAAATAGACTTCTGGGAGGGAGGCTGGCTCATCTCATCAAAAGGGCTTTAAACTAGGAACTCAGGGGAGACGGTTGGGAGATGTTCAGTTAATCTCCACGCCAGAGTCCAACACTGAAAAGAAGAGGGAGGAGATAAGCACAGACATAGCTAGGGGTAGGGAATTGGACATAAGAAAGAGGGGGCAAATGGACAGCATGGGGTCCGTTCCATATTGCATGACTAATGGGAGAAAGGATAGACAGCGTACGGTAAGATGTTTATACACCAATGCGAGAAGCCTAGGTAACAAAATGGAGGAATTGGAGCTCCTGGTCCAAGAAATGAAACCTGATATCGTGGGAATAACCAAAACGTGGTGGAACGGTAGTCATGACTGGAGTACAGGTATGGAAGGGTATGTGCTGTTTAGGAATGACCAGAAAAAAGGTAAAGGTGGGGGAGTGGCGTTATATGTCAATAATGAGCTAAAATGTAAAGAAATAATAAGTGATGGAATGGATAAGACGGAGTCTGTATGGGCAATAATTACACTGCATAAAAGAACTACTAGAGCCTCCCCCCAGATAGTGCTTGGGGTGTGCTATAGACCGCCAGGATCTAGCCTGGAGGCGGACAGAGAACTACTTAATGTTTTTAGGGAAGTAAAAACTGATCAGAACTGTGTCATCATGGGGGACTTTAACTTCCCAGATATAGATTGGGTAACAAATGCTAGTAACAATAATAGGGCTCAGATGTTCTTAGACATGATAGCAGATGAATTCCTTCATCAAGTAGTAACTGAACCGACGAGGGGGGATGCCATTTTAGATTTAGTGCTGGTGAGTAGTGAGGACCTCGTTGAAGAAATGGTTGTAGGGGACAACCTTGGCTCGAGTGACCATGAGCTAATTCGGTTTAAACTAAATGGAAGGATTAACAGAAATGATACTGTAACTAAGGTGTACAATTTCAAAAAGGCCAACTTTAATAAATTAAGGCAACTACTTAGGGAAGTGGATTGGGCTAACATACTTAGGGATCTAAAGGCAGATGACGCCTGGGATTATTTCAAGCTGAAGTTGCATGAGATGTCTGAGGCCTGTATCCTGAGAAAGGGAAAACGATTAGTGGGCAGGAGATTTAGACCTAGCTGGATGAGCGGGAGTCTCAAAGGGGCGATTAAGAAAAAACAGAAAGCGTACAGAGAATGGAAGAAGGGAGGGATCAGCAAGGAAACCTACCTTAGTGAGTTTAGAGCATGTAGGGATGCGGTGAGAAAGGCCAAAAGCCGTGTAGAGTTGGACCTTGCGAGGGGAATTAAATCCAACGGTAAGAGGTTTTATAGCCATATAAATAGGAAGAAAACAAAGAAAGAGGAAGTGGGACCGCTGAAGAATGTGGATGGAGTGGAAATTAAGAATAATCTAGGCATGGCACAATATCTAAATGAATATTTTGCTTCGGTCTTTAATAAGGCTAATGAAGGGTTTAGGAATAGAGGGAGTAGGACAGAGGGGAATAGAGGAGGGGGGATAGACATTACAGTATCAGAGGTGGAGGCCAAACTTGACCAGCTAAACGGGACTAAATCGGGCGGACCGGATGATCTTCATCCTAGAATATTGAAGGAACTGGCGCGAGAAATTGCGAGCCCCTTGGCGACAATTTTTAATGAATCTGTAAACTCGGGGGTGGTACCGTTGGACTGGAGAATAGCTAATGTGGTTCCTATTTTCAAGAAGGGGAAAAAAAGTGACCCGGGTAACTACAGGCCTGTTAGTTTAACTTCTGTAGTATGTAAGGTCTTGGAAAAAATTTTGAAGGAGAAAGTAGTTAAGGACCTTGAGGTGAATGGCAATTGGGACAAATTACAACATGGGTTTACGAAAGGCAGGTCGTGCCAAACCAACCTGATCTCCTTCTTTGAGAAAGTAACAGACCTTCTAGATAAAGGAAATGCGGTGGATCTAATATACCTCGATTTTAGTAAAGCGTTTGATACGGTTCCGCATGAGGAATTATTGGTTAAATTGGATAAGATGGGGATCGATAGGAAAATCCAGAGGTGGATAAGGAACTGGTTAAAGGGGAGACTGCAGCGGGTAGTACTGAAAGGGGAACTGTCAGATTGGAGGGAGGTCACCAGTGGGGTTCCTCAAGGTTCGGTTCTGGGTCCGATTTTATTTAATCTATTCGTTACTGACCTCGGAACCAAATGTAGGAGTGGGCTGATTGATAAAGTTTGCGGATGACACAAAGTTGGGAGGCATTGCCAACTCTGAGAAGGATCGGGATATTCTGCAGGGAGACTTGGATGACCTTGTAAATTGGAGTATTAGTAATAGGATGAGATTTAATAGTGAGAAGCGTAAGGTGATGCATTTAGGGATGACTAATAAGAATTTCAGTTATAAGCTAGGGACGCATAGGTTAGAAGTGACTGAGGAGGAGAAGGACCTCGGAGTCCTGGTTGATCGCAGGATGACTATGAGTCGGCAATGCGACGTGGCTGTGAAAAAAGCTAATGCGATCTTGGGATGCATAAGGCGAGGTATTTCTAGTAGGGACAGGGAGGTGCTGCTTCCGTTATACAAGGCGCTGGTGAGACCTCGCTTGGAGTACTGTGTGCAGTTCTGGTCTCCTCTGTTTAAAAGGGATGAACTGAAACTGGAACGGGTACAGAGAAGGGCCACTAGGATGATCCGAGGAACGGAAAACCTTTCCTATGAAAGGAGACTAGAGGAGCTTGATTTGTTTAGCCTAACCAAAAGAAGGCTGAGGGGGGATATGATTGCTCTCTTTAAATATATCAAAGGGATAAATACCAGGGAGGGAGAGGAATTATTTCAGCTCAGTGCTAATGTGGACACGAGAACGAATGGATATAAACTGGCCGTGGGGAAATTTAGGCTTGAAATTAGACGAAGGTTTCTAACCGTCAGAGGGGTGAAATTTTGGAACGGCCTTCCGAGGGAAACGGTGGGGGCGAAAGACCTCTCTGGCTTCAAGATTAGGCTAGATAAGTTTATGGAGGGAATGGTTTGATGGGATTACGGGATTCTAATCAATTAGGCAATAACGGCCATCGCTGGTAAAATGAGGGTCTGGCTAGAGAATCTTGCCTGTATGCTCGGGGTTCTGCTGATCGCCATATTTGGGGTCGGGAAGGAATTTTCCACCAGGGTTGATTGGCAGTGGCCCTGGAGGTTTTTCGCCTTCCTCCGCAGCATAGGGCAGGGGTCGCAAGCTGGAAAATCCTCTGCGACTTGAAGTCTTTGGATCACGATCTGGAGACTTCAACAGCAGAGTTAAGGGAAAGTGGGTGGGTCAGCTTTTGTGGCCTGCATCATGCGGGGGGTCAGACTAGATGACCATATTGGTCCCTTCTGACCTTAAAGTCTATGAGTCTATGAACACCTCACCCACCTTGTCTATCTAATATCTTGGGACCCACACAACAACAACACTGCATTGTAGAATGTTAGCTAATTTCAGAGCCTAAGGGGATATATAGGCTGAAAACAGTTGCTTTTCCTGTGACTCCTGCTGCCAAACACAGGACCAAATTTTCAAGTGTGTACATACAATATAGTGCATGTGCCCACTTAAGAGTTGTGGATGCTCAATGTTAATATTCAGAAAGTATATTCCTACTAACCTTTCCATTAGTAAAGGCTGAAATACTGATCAAATGACAACTTCCATTCCTCTCAAAGGCCAGAGCTAGTTCAGTTATCACAAGGGCCAGTTCAAATATTCAGAATTTGCAACACTTAGTATAGTACAGTGGCAGATAAGCCATCATCATCATCTGATAACCTGTATGGAATTCTAATATTTTTTTAAAAAGTCATGTTATAATACTGTTTTATATGACAAGAAACCCAAACCTAGCACCTGTAGAATATCACAGTCTTGTTGCATAGTGTTACCTTAATGTCTAGTTAAGGGTCAGAGTAGGATTTGAGTTATTTCCTTTGTTTTAAGCAATATCTGGACACCATATTTGAGATGCATTGCACTTGAATGAAACCTGCAGCATAATGCTTTTGTGCTATGTGAAGCAGGTTGCATGTACTATTAACCCAACCTATATTGGCATTGGTGTGAGACTTTGAATTTTTCCTTAATTCAGAATCATCTTCCTTTTTCAACTACTGGGTAAAAGCTAGTTGACACAGAATGACATTCACCCCAGCAGAGATGATGTGCAAATGCCCTATATGTTGCTTAAATGGTGCACAGAGTTTTGTTAACAGTCTTAACACAAATATGGGACTAGCAACACCTCAGTTCTAAAATTGAGAGTCTCAGTTATGCTTCCATTTTTTAAATTAAACCTGTGAAGAAGCGGTTCTAAATAGTGCATTTCTTTAACCCCAGAATTTTAATCTGAAGTCCATTCTTTACTGATCAATTCATTTTTTTGGATTAACTTGTATCAGCTCCTGAGATGCACAGCTCACTCATATCCATCACATTTCAACAGCATTCAGATTTTGTTCAACAAAAACTAAAAAGCACTGAGTTAGGAAATAAGATCAATATCCAGTGTCCTGCTAATAAATTCATATTTTAATATAAAATATTCATACAGCACACTACACCTCAGGCTGTCTGCTAGCTGAATACTGTTACTGACTATTCAAAACAGAAAAACTTCAATCACTTTGCTCTTCAATGTGTTTTGAGGGACGATATGATTTCCAGCAGCTACTTTGATTACGGTATTTAGGGGGAAGTGTTCCAGATATCTATATTAGGTTAAGAAGTTGGCCAAAAGGAAAAAATATTTTTCAGAACGTAAAGGACTGTTTCCACTTACCGTGGAAAAACAACACTGCACCCATTAGTGTTCCCATTAGAAAATGCTCTTCTACACTGCAAGGCTCCCTGGTGCTCTCTTCCTGCCCTGTGCAAAACCTTCTCCCCTCTAGAAACAAACTCAGTCATTGCTCCCCTCTGTCATCGTCTGCTCTTTCAGTTAGAGTTAAATAATAATTAATGTTGCTATAAAGATGAGTTAAAAACCCCAAAGGCAGCCTTGGAGCCCTGCCCATCAGGGTGTCATGTTTCAGGAAGCTGATTAATGTCTGTCAGTTTTGTGTCGTTCAGGATTGCACGGATTCTCTCCAAGGAATCTGCCTGCCGGATCCGTTCCAACTGCACCTACAAAAAGCAATGAATACAATGAGCTGGTAAAATGTGTGTAATACTTCTCAAACCAGAAGATATGGTATTAGCGTGGATGCGATCTGTTCTGACATGCTACGTCAGCATATCCACACTGCGCACTTCTGCGCATGAAACAGTGGGCCCGCTCGGTGGTCTGCAAAGGTCTAATTCAGTTAACAGTAACTGATCTGTTTGCTATCTCTGAAAAGCCCATGCAACTTAACTTGTAAGCCTCTAGTTAGTGACGGCATGAGTTGATGCGAACCCCTACAGAGAATCTGAAATTGTTTCCTCTCCCATTGATGCAATGGTTTTAGAGTTCTTCCCTTAGGATATTCAGTATTACCCAGTAGTGCTTTCTTATGCCACGCATGCCTAATGAGAGGGTTCAAGTATGTTCATTCAGGATCAAGGGGGAAAAGCGTGTACAGTTACTTTACCGTTCAACTGTTTCCTTATATGAAACTATTTCTTCACTGAGCCAATTCACATACCTCCACCCCCAATTAAATATTAAATCTTAACGATGCAAGTGTAATACTTCGAATGATTGGTAAAGATGGACATCAAAACATGGGAAAGGAGATCTCCTCTACACTGAATTTACAAAATTACTCCAAACATCAGCATGTCATATATTTGATACACATCTTGATGCAATCATTCACAAAATGTCTGATAATTAAAGTGTTTAAACAAGGTAAATATTTTTTGGGAAAAACTGAGTAGTGGCAGTAGGGATCTAATCTTGTTTAAATCCCATCAACCCACAGGAAAATAAAATACAGATAGATAGCCTATTTAGGTGTAGGAAATCAAAGAAGAGAACTCTGCTAAGAGCTAGACATGTGGAAAAGGCAAGTTATCCCAATACACTCTCCTTGGAGTGTATCTGTGTTGCACAAATCTAAGAACAGGGTATTTTAGGTTTAAAAAGTCACTACTTTAGCACTTTTGTAACTAGGTGATTCATTGCTGTCACATATCAAGCACAGTAACCTGGTGGTTATCAATGTACCACTCAGTGACATACTGGCAAGGAGGAGTAGAGAGAAAAGTCAAATTCAAAAGGTGATGTGAAAGATGGTGTGACCCTTCCATGAGTGTGTGTAATAAGTGTCTGATTTTGTGCAACTTCACACAGAGGTCTGATGACGTAAGTTAAACTGCTGGGGGAGCTACTTTAAAAACATCCATGTTTGCACACACGCAGGCTGCTTGCTCTTCCTGATACACCTTTGTCTTCTAGCCCCGTGTGTATTAGGAGAAGCAACCAGCAGAAGTGTGCGCCCAAAGATGGATATTTTTAAAGTAGCTTCCCCCTCTCGCTCCCCAGCATTTTATCCTACACCTCTAAGCAGCCTGGTGTGAAAGTTAGACTAACTCAGGCCTGGTATACACTTAAAACTTAGGGTGACATAGCTAAGGTGTTCAGGAGTGTGAAAAATCCATACCCCCAAGCGCCACCGCTATACCGACCTAACCCCCAGTGTACATGCAGCTACGTCCATGGAAGAATGTGTCCACTCACCTAGCTACTGTTGCTTGGGGAGGAGGAGTTCCTACAGCAATGGAAAAACCCCTTCTGCTGCTGTACTCTGAGTCTATGCTATGATGTTATGCCAGTTTAGCTATGGCACCACAGCTATGCTGCAATAGTGCCCATGGTGTAGATTTGGCTTCAGACACTTTAACTCCAGCTTGCTAACGTGCAACTTAAACCACCTTAACACATCTGAGTTTGACTGTTTTTCAAAAGAGTGTGTATGTGTATGTATATGTATCTCCTTACTATATGTTCCATTCTATGCATCTGAAGAACTGGGCTGTAGCCCACGAAAGCTTATGCTCAAATAAATGTGATAGTCTCTAAGGTGCCACAAGTACTCCTGTTCTTTTTTCAAAGGAGTGGTTTTTGTAAAGGGAAATCATGCCGCACCAATCTACTAGAATTCTTTGAGGGGGTCAACAAGCATGCGGACAAGGGGGAATCCAATGGATAGAGTGTATTCAGAAAGCCTTTGACAAGGTCCCTCACCAAAGGCTCTTAAGCAAAGTAAGCTGTCATGGGATAAGAGGAAAGGTCCTTTCATGGATTGGTAACTGGTTAAACAATAGGAAAAAAAGGGTAGGAATAAATGGGCTGGGCCCAGTCCTATTCAACATATTCATAAATGATCTGGGGAAAGGGGTAAACAGTGAGGTGAGAAAATTTGCAGATGATACAAAACTACTCAAGATAGTTAAGTCTCAGGCAGACTGCGAAGAACTACAAAAGGATCTCACAAAACTGGGTGACTGGGCAACAAAATGGCAGATGAAATTCAGTGTTGATAATGCAAAGTAATGCACATTGGAAAACATAATCCCAACTATACATATAAAATGATGGGGTCTAAATTAGCTGTTACCACTCAAGAAAGAGATCTTGGAGTCATTCTGGATAGTTCTCTGAAAACATCCACTCAATGTGCAATCAAAAAAGCAGACAGAACTTTGGGAACTATTAAAGGGATAGATAATAAGACAGAAAATATCATATTGCCTCTATATAAATCCATGGTACGCCCACATCTTGAATACTGCGTGCAGATGTGGTGGCCACATCTCAAAAAAGATAGGTTGCAATAGGAAAATGTTCAGAAAAGGGCAACAAAAATGATTAGGGGTATGGAACAGCTGCCGTATGAGGAGAGATTAAGAAGACTAGGACTTTTCAGCTTGTAAAAAAGGTGACTAAGGGGGGCTATGACAGAGGTCTATAAAATCACGACTAGGGTGGAGAAAGTAAATAAGGAAGTGTTATTTATTCCTTGTAACACTAGGGGTCATCAAATGACATTAATAGGCAGCAGGTTTAAAACAAACAAAAGGAAATATTTTTTCTACACAATGCACAGTCAACCTGTGGAACTCCTTGACAGAGGATGTTGTGAAGGCCAAGACTATAACAGGATTCAAAAAAGAGCTAGATAAGTTCATGGAGGACAGGTCCATCAATGGCTATTAGCCAGGATGGGCAGGGATGGTGTCCCTAGCCTCTGTTTGCCAGAAGCTGGGAATGGGTGACAGGGGATGGATCATTGGATGATCACCTGTTCTGTTCATTCCCTCTGGGGCACCTGGCATTGGCCACTGTCAGAAGACAGGATACTGGGCTAGATGGGCCTTTGGTCTAATCCAGTATGGCCATTCTTATGTAGAGTGAAAATAGGGAAGTTAATTTATGGCAGCAGCTCTAGGCCTTCTAATTGAGTGTAAAGCAAGCAAGCGGATAACTAACCCCTATTATTTATTAATTAAATCAATAAATGTGTTCATTCATTGAATAAGGTTTCTTCTGGTCTTTAGACTAGGCCTTGTGATCCCAAGCTAGTGTAACTAATGAGCTATTAAATAATTAAGTTGTTATACTTATGTAAATACATAAGGACATCTATCAGACCCCTGCCTTGACCATTTTTAATATTTAATATGTTTTCTACATATCAAATTACTCCCTGGAATTTGGATTCAGGGCTACCTGGTATCAAGAGGTCTTAGCATTAGGATCATGGTTCTTAGCATCAGGAACTTCAGGCAACTAGTGGCTAGTTGATTTAGATATACAATAACCAGCCACAGACATAGCTTGTTTTCTCCAGAGCTAGTACTGAACTCATCAGTCCACAGAAAAAAGACGTGCATCCAGACCCCCCAGGGGCAAGGAGAGGAAAGGAAATAACTCTTGCCAGCTACCAAGGAGAAACTAAAATCCTCATACATTATACAGCAGGGCTTGTATTACACACAGCACATAAAACACTGGCTAGTTATTCTACCAATCGTTCTGTATGTCTGAGAGTGGGCATGCTCATTCCTACAGCAGAGGCTAATAGCTGTGGGACTGGAGTGACATGACAAAGACTGTCCAGCCACAGGAAACACAGGCAGAAGCCTGTGACAAACATAACCTTACAAACAAAGCTGGAATCAGGAAAACAGTGGCAAGTGACATAGTAACAGTAACTACCTTTTACCATAGCTCTTTGGAGCCACATGAATATTTTGAGACAAGAACTGTGTACATTTTCACTATGGAAACTGAGCCAATGTATTTTCAAAGCAGTACGTGGATTTGTAAGAGAACAACAGCGAGTAAAAAGCAGTTTTACAGAGAATGTTAGCTTAATTGTCTCATATTTGTACTGCCTAGTACTACAGAAACAAGTAGGAGAAAGAGTTAACAACCCATTCTGCCCATCCATGGGGACCACCTCCAGCAAGCAACATGCTGAAATCTTTTATTGGGCGCGCAAAGATTCTTGATTTTGTTTACTAGCTAAACTAGGAAACGTGAATTACAATTTATAAGTTTTATTTCTAAGCGACTCTTTACTGAACAGTTGGTACAAGAAGTTAAAGGATACAGGACTGAACCTTAGTATACCCCTGATGAGAGATCTGGCTGGATGGATAAGAAACTGCAATGCAAAATGAACCACATTCCATTGCATGAAAGATTACCCAAAAATCCATAAGTATTAAAATCTCTTTCTTCTGCTGACTTGTGATCTCTTGAGCCCAACTATAGCTTCTTCCTTTTAGGATCAAACACATGACTCAGCGATAGGGATAAAAAACTATCACGTGCTATAGCTTAAAGAGCAGCAAATACACAGCCCAGGAGTGATTAGTGCAAATTCCTGACATCGCACTTGAATCACTAAATTATACGCCGAGGGAACATCATGAGGTGGTCTCTGCAACGTTAGAGAATCATGGAGCTATTATTTGTGTGGTTCTGTACAACTTCATTTAATGCACTAACTCCCTACTGGCTGCTGGGAGGGAGTTGGGGGACAGGCAGTCAGATCCAGGCTAAATAAGAGCCCAGCGAGGTGCTAAAACAAGTTGGATTCCTGGCTTAGACTAATAATTCTTTACTGCTCACAATACTATCAGTTGGTTTGTGGTCCCAGTTTTTATGTCGCACCGCACCCCAACTACCGAGGTGACAGAATACACCTGGGCATGAACAAACGTAATACTTGGGACAGACTGATTGCACATCTCTTACCTGGAGGGTTTGAGAAAGCTTTACAAAGTCTCTCTGCACTTGCTCACTGACATCTAATTCAGTCTGCAGTCGCTGCGCTTTGTCCTTTTCTTCAAACATCAACTGCTCAAGGTTAGTCTGGAAAGAGACAAGTTATTGATGTTGTGCTTAAACTCTGTACAGAAGGGGCACGGATGGACTTCTGATTAAGTATGGGTCTGGGAATCAGGTGATCTGGGTATATTCCAGTCTTTCTGCCTGAAGTTGGACCAGCCATTTACCCTCTCCATGCCTCAGTTTCCCTATCTGGGGAAAAAAGGTTTAATACCCAGTTTCCAAGAGTATGGGGATGGTGACGATTAATTCATTAATGTAGGAAAAAGCCCTTCCCTAGCACCTTATTTCCACAGGTCTCCAAGTAAAACTGCAAGTTTCTGACAATGAAATCAGACAGTAAATGGAGGATCATGATTCTCTCAGAGGTAAATTACTATATTTTCTGTCTGGGTTTTGATCAAGGTGGTATAAAAATCAGACCAGAATTAATTCATTCCTCTGCCAGTGCAGTAGTGTTCCCCACAGTAACCACTGAAATGTCAAATATTCAGAATCTCAGGGGACCCAAACTGGTTAATCCAGTTTTAAAATGACTCGGAATGGAGCTTTCAACAACTTCCCTAGGGAGACTTGCACAGTCAGGGCATCTCCTGAGATCCACTCTTCCCCTTTCTGTTTCATCCTTACTCTTAGCAATACCCATTTTGACCAGCAGTGTGAGCTTTCAGAACACTATGCTTGAAAAAACACAAGTGTCTGTACAAATTCAAAACTTACTTTCATACAGAGCCACCAACATAACAGTTACCTTCGCAGTGGTCTCCTTCTTTAGCTGTTCTTCAAGAGTGTTTTTCATTTCCTGAAGACTCTCCAGCTGCTGCTGTTTTTCCTGCAAGGTGCACTCCAACTGTGAAATCAGAGAAAATCAATTACTTGAAACCCTCTAAAATTTTCTTTTTTCACAGATGCCTGGCATTCAAAACAGTACATAGAAAGATCAGTGTAACTGCCTTTGTAGAGAAACCCCAAGGTAAACATGCCATCACCCCTTTCTTTCCCGAAACTGAAGGAAATGCCTATAGCGAATAACATTTAACTTATTAAGATTAGTATAGAAAGTATATACAATTTTAAGCATTAGGAGAGCCTCTGTTAAGATTGCAAAAAACTTGCACTGTTTCCCATGTTATAATTCTGTCCTTCAGAGTTCCAAACGTCTACTTATTTGTTCCTTTTAAATGATAGTGCTGCTCCTCAACATCCACAAGCATACAAGTTCTCAACTTGCAACAATCTGGCAATGTACACCTTGGTCAGAAAACTCTCCTACACAGAATAAGCACTCCTTCCTTTTTATGGAAGGAAGTAAATTCTCTATTATTTCACAGCTACAGTGACATGAAGGCCACAACGTGGTAAGTATCAGAGGGGTAGCCGTGTTAGTCTGGAGCTGTAAAAAGCGACAAAGTCCTGTGGCACCTTATAGACTAACAGACGTATTGGAGCATAAGCTTTCGTGGGTGAATACCCACTTCGTCAGACGCATGTAGTGGAAATCATTCCGAACTATCCTGCTTGTATCTCCCTAGACACGAGTGACTTGTCAGATAGCGTCCTCATTCAGAGTCATTTTACAAAATACATATTTTGGTTAGTAACAACTAAGCAGAGCCAGCAAGGAAAGTTAGTTTATTTTCTCTGACATGAGAGGGGTTGATATTGACACAGAGATTCTAGAACAAGAATGAATCACCTTGTTGGGATTCTCCTTCCTGCCCATTTTATCAGGTTAAATTTTCTACATTTACGTTTGCAAAATTCTTAAATGATCTTCAAACTGAACTCTTACCTGTTCCTTTTCCACTTTTATTCTTTCCAATTCAGCTTTTAGGCTAGAAATAGAAGCTGCAAAACAGAGGAAAAACAAACTTTTCACTTCATCAAGGCACTAGCTTCTCCAGATTTTACACCTCACTTTCATCAACCCATTTAAAAAAAAAAAAAAATCTAAATGTATCATGGTAAATGTATCTGAAGATCTTTTTACTATATGGAATGGTTTACCTCCAGCCAGAGTTCTCTGCAAGGCTCATGTGTAATCCAACAGATCCCAGCAAGGCTATGTTCTGAAGATTTCTCTTCATTCATTCTGGGAGTTACCATTTCCCCCCTTATAACTCTCATCTCTCAATAGCTTATGATCATGGCAATCTTCCTCTGGTAGGTAAATGATCTCCTTTAAGGCAGCTGCCAACATAGCCCTATGGTCACCGGGTGGCATTAACAGAGGCAGGGGCAATCGCCTTCTCCTCAGCCCAACCTATTTTATCCATGTTCTTGTGCCACACCCATCACTACTGTGTCTGGAACACATACAAGTGTTCGGGGAGTGACACCCCCTCCCTGGTTAAACTTTGGTCTCCCAGAGCATGCAGCGCTGTTATTAAGGCACCATTAATATTATCAAGTTAACTTATTGTGAACTTGCAAAAATGTGTGCTTTTTCTGAAGACTTAGAGCTTTGTTTTGTAACGCTGGTCTGCTATGCTGTCTCTTGTACACACTTTATTTAAATGTCCTGACTAGAGCCTTGAAATAAGTAAACATGTTAATAATTCAGAGTCCTGGATAGAACTGTAAGTGTGAGTTACATTGACTGTGACAATGGGTCAAGAGAGGAACTTAAATATGTACCGGATGTAACACAGTCAGTGCAGGTTACATGCATCTCTAATGGGCATCAAGCACAGTTCATTATTTTTAACCATGTTCGCACCAGGAGAAGGATTTCTGAGATTAAGAACAAATGCTAAATTTTAGATGATAGAAGAAAGAAATCATGACCCCGCAAGAGTTATGGATTAAGGAGGAAAACTGAATTGCAACATTACCAAAAAAATAAAAACACAAAGTCATGCCCACTTGAAGAACACTTAGAAAAAGGCAACCTGCCCTAAAAACAGGACCAAGTGTCTCCTCTTTCTCCCACCTTCTGCCAACCCAAGGAGCCCAAGTTACTTCCTGCTCTCCTGGAGTAACACATACCACTTCCCATCTGGTTACTCGGGTGCCTATTGTCTTAGTTGAATTTTAGGATGGTACAGAACTGTCCTTTGATCCCCTTTACTTTTTAAACATTTGAGGAGAAAGAAACCATTTCATTTTTATGTGCTATGCCTTAGGGAAGCTTTTAACCTCCTCTCTAACAGCAGGGAAGGCAAGGCTGGCAAAACTAATCTCACTCTAAACAAAAATGCTGTGTTGCACCCTTTTCCCTGTACCTACATTTCGACTTACACCAAAAAGGCTCCAGCAAGGGCACCTGCATGAACACACTTTGGATGCTATATCAAAATAAACAATTACTTCTCTCTTTCTGTGTTTTGGGTTTATTTCTGTAAGTTACCGGCACCATAATCACATTTTTAAAATGCACTTATTCACTTAAACATAACTGTTTTATTCTTTTCATCATCATCATCTCCTCATTTTTACTCATCTAGCTGCAAGATTCTGCTTCCCCTCTAGCAGAGGGCTGATGCTCTGTTTTCTGAGGGTTAAGTAAAAGAGGCTAGGTTTCAGCAATAATGAGATAGAACAAGCATCTCCCACTAAAAACAACCCCCTGCTAGTAGTATTCCCTATCAAATAAAACCTCACGGTGAACTATTCCAATACATCTCTCATGTCTTCCTTAGAGTCACATTTACAGATATCACAATGGTTCCTTCTGACATTATAGTCTGACCTCCTGCATAAACACAGGCCAAGGAATTGTTACTGATATCTGTGTCAAAGTCAACAAAACAAAGATATCAATCTAAAAAACGGCACAAAATTAGACAGCAAACAGTAATCTCACCCTTAAAACTTGGTAACAATTCCACTTCCCATTTTATCTCCTTTTTTTCATTTACACTTCCGCTTTTAATATTAAGTTACATGCTACATTAGAAGGCATATTTGGCCATATTTCACCACAGAAACGGTGTCTTCTTGTGAATTTAGGATTATATTCAGATGCACAATTTGTCAAATGCAGTCTGTCTGTCACAACTATTATAAATAAAAACTATTTTTTAGGGCTGTCAAGCGAGTAAAAAAATTAATTGCAATTAATCGCACTGTTAAACTATAATAGAATACCATTTATTTAAATGTTTTTGTATGTTTTCTACATTTTCAAATAGATTGATTTCAATTACAACACAGAATACAAAGTGTACAGTGCTCACATTATATTTATTTTTGATTACAAATATTTGTACTGTAAAAAACAAAAATAGTATTTTTCAATTCATCTCATACAAGTACTGTAATACAATCTCTTTATCATGAAAGTTGAACTTACAAATGTAGAATTATGTACAAAAAATAACTGCATTCAAAAATAAAACAATGTAAAACTTTAGAGCCTATAAGTCCACTCAGTCCTACTTCTTGCTAAGCCAGTCACTCAGACAAACACGTTTGTTTACATTTGCAGGAGATAATGCTGCCTGCTTCTTGTTTACAACGTCACCTGAAAGTGAGAACAGGCATTCGCATGGCACTGTTGTAGCCGGCATCACAAGATATTTACGTGCCAGATGCGTTAAAGATTCATATGTCCCTTCATGCTTCAACCACCATTCCAGGGGATATGCGTCCATGCTGATGATGGGTTCTGCTCGATAATGACTCAAAGCAGTGCAGACCAACACATATTCACTTTCATCATCTGAGTCAGATGCCACCAGCAAAAGGTTGATTTTCTTTTTTGGTGGTTCGGGTTCTGTAGTTTCTGCATTGGAGTGTTGCTCTTTTAAGACTTCTGAAAGCATGCTCCACACCTCGTCCCTCTCAGATTTTCGAAAGCACTTCAGATTCTTAAACCTTGGGTCAAGTGCTGTAGCCATCTATAGAAATTTCACATTGGTACCTTCTTTGCGTTTTGTCAAATTTGCAGTGAAAATGTTCTTAAAATGAGGAACATGTGCTGGGTCATCATCTGAGACTGCTACAACATGAAATACATGACAGAATGCGGGTAAAACAGAGCAGGAGACATACTATTCTCCCCCAAGGAGTTTAGTCAAAATTTAATTACTGTATTTTCTTTTTTTAAAATGAGCATCATCAGCATGGAAGCATGTCCTCTGGAATGGTGGCTAAAGCATGAAAGGGCATACAAATATTTAGCATATGTGCCATGTAAATACCTTCAATGCTGGCTACAAAAGTGCCATGCAAATGCCTGTTCTCAATTTCAGGTGACATTGTAAATAAGCCAGCAGCTTTATCTCCCGTAAATGTAAACAAATTTGTTTGTCTTAGCGATTGGCTGAATAAGAAGTAGGACTGAGTGGACTTGTAGGCTCTAAAGTTTTACATTGTTTTGTTTTTGAGTGTAGTTATGTAAGAAACAAACAAAATCTACATTTGTAAGTTGCACTTTCACGATAAAGAGATTGCACTATGGTACTCGTATGAGGTGAACTGAAAAATACTGTTTCTTTTGTTTATCATTTTTACAGTGCAAATATTTGTAATAAAAATAATATAAAGTGAGCACTGTACACTTTGTATTCTGTGTTGTAACTGAAATTGATATATTTGAAAATGTAGAAAAACATCCAAAAATATTTAATAAATTTCAATTGGTATTCTATTGTTTAATAGTGCAATTAAAACAGCGATGAATCGCAATTAATTTTTAAAAATGTGATTAATTTTTTTGAGTTAATCGTATGAGTTAATTGCGATTAATCGACTGCCCTACTATTTTTGTGCATTTTCCAAAAGCATGTCAAACGGGACACTGGACTGAATTCTTCTGATGATAATGTGGATACATCTGACTTAAGTTACCCCAGAACAAGTCCTCAAGAATCTGTTTTCCAACACAGGTTTCTCTTTCTAGATTATTTTGCCCCTTCGCACCTATTTCTTCTTTGCAATTTTCTATTTCCAGCTGTAGAGTTTCTTCTAAATTTTCCTTTAGACACTGTTCAGCTTGAATCTGTTCTTTTAAGAATAAAATTTCTGCCTTCAGTTTTTCTTCAAGGTGATCTGCTGCAGTCCGTACACTAATGATGTCCTCACGATATTTTAATACCAGCTCACGGAGTTCCTGAATTGAAGATTAGCAAGACATTTCAGTTACAACATTTTCACACACATAGAAAGCAATGTACACTGATACCAGTCACTGATAGAGAGTCAAATTACCAGTGTTTTTTTGCTCTGTCTCAGCATCTCAGGCCCCGTCCCCAAAAAGGTTTTAAAGAAGTACAACAAAATTTGCCTGATAAATTAATATCTTGCAAAAATCTCTCTCTCTTAACACACATTAATTCTCTTCATGCACCAATCCACTATTTATCTGCTATGCTTGAGTGTAAGGGAGTGGACATGTAGGGCTGCTGAGATTTACTATAGCTCAGTACAAAGGATTATGCCAGTTCTTAACCTTCACTGCTCAACATAACTAATCTGTGCACCCCTCTGCCACCCCACACAATGCCTTGCAGAGTCAAGACCTTAAATTTAGAATCCGGTTGTTTCTGCAGTTTTACCAGACCAGTACGTAACTTCTTCCACTTAGTTCTACTGTTACATTTTGTTCATTTAAATATTCTAATCAATCATTTCAAAATTTTACCTCCAGGGATTCTGGCAGACTGAAATCTTCAGCTTGCTGTAAAGACACATGCAAGCTATGCTTTCCCTGAAGGCTTTCATTATCTTTTTGTAGTCTCACCAACTCTTCTGAGACCTGCTCCCTTGACTGCATCAGGACAGCCTCCAAAATAAGGAGAAAATGCAAAATTATAGTCATGCTAGGGTCTAGTCACAGCCAATTTGTCACAGTGCTTCCAAAGCTAGTGGAACCCAGGGCAATTTATATTCTCTGTGAAGGAGGATGGCAGTATGGATCAACTCCCTCGGTTAGCCTTGGTTATTCCAGTACTAGTAAAAAGTAAAACCACAACACCCACAAAGATTTGACACTTACCCAATTGCCTACATAAAAGATACATTTAATTTAGTTTAACAGCTTAACTGCAGTCAGTCATAAGTAAAAGAGCAGGCCATACATACAGCCCCATTATGTATCTTCCAATTTTTTGGTAGCCAATGGACAAGGTGGTGTGTGTGGCACACATGCGTTGTGTTTAATTTTTTTTCTGTCTACCTAATTAATTATATAAATAACCGAGACCAAGTTCCGTCTTTGAATATGTTGTGTCGCTATGAGCCACATGATGGAAATTGTTATTTTATTTGCTTTTTTTAAAAATAGGAAGTTATATATTAGAAGAACAATCAAGTTGCAAAGCCAAGCACTCAAAAGGTAGGAAATGTTAGAATTTCGGTTGCTTGTGCAACCTCAATGTATATGCACAAGTGGGACAAATTATGATACCATCTAGTTACATGATAATATACAGTGTTTTTCTTACAGGACCCCTGTCTCATTCATTGCTCTGGAGATAAATCAGGGTTGTTAGCAAAGGAGACTCATCTGGAAGACCTCTGCTTCATTTGCTGAGGAAGCTAGGCAGGATTGAGGCAGGGGACTGCATGAAGAGAAAGGATGGTCTCATGGTTAAGGCAGCTGAATGATGCCCTGTGGAATTGGGTTCTATCCCTGCTTCTGTCACAGACTTCCTATGTGATGCCACACACATCTCTCATGCCGAAGTTTTCACAGGTGGGCACGAACGTGTTCTTCAATTTCTTGGTGCCTGACTTGAGACCCTAGAGTCTGATTTGCACAAGTGATGAGCACTCACAGCTGCAACTGTGATGTCACGGCAGCTTGCTCGAACATATAAAGTGTCATATAATGCTATGCTCTGAAGGAAAAAAAACGGGCCTTAGGCATCTCCAAACAATCTCCACTGAAAGTTAGTGGAATTTTTGGATCTTAATCTCTGTGTCACAGTTTCCCATCTGTAAAATTGGGCTAATACCCCTTCATCAGGAGTGTTGTGAAAATAAATTCTTTAATGTCGGTGAAGCACTCGGATCCTATAAGTGATTAGCGTCATAGAAAAGCCCAGGAGGAAATTATTATTTTTACCTTCAGAGCAGGGAGTGAATAGTGTGCAGTAAATAAGGCTGGGTACCACACACCACAACAAAGAGTGCACAAAATATTAAACAGCTGCTTATTAAATGAGCACCATCCATTCTGTGCATTGAAGGAAGCTGGGGTCCTGTGGAAAAAGTAGTATGAGATCATGTAATTAGAGACTATCGTAATGAGTACACATAAGGGGGCCAAATTAAGGTTGCACATGCAACCTGAATTCTGGCATTTCCTAACTTCTGAGTGCTTGACTTTGCAACTTCAATTTTTTTTAAACATATATGTACACACACAAAAAGGTATGAGACACAGGTAAGGTGGCTATATTTAAAGACCAAACTTGGTCTCTTTCTGGAAAAGAAGCTTCACCATGCTGCTGCAGGGTTGTGGGTCTTTCCTCCTTACAAGTGCTGAGAGCAACAGGGAGCAAGATCCATTCATCAGCCAAAAGGCAAGTAGGAGGAGGCGGCCCCTGGCTCCACCACATCAGAAACCTAAATTCCTGGGCTTTCCTGTGCCGGGGAGAATGAGAGACCAGAGACTCCTGAGCCAGAACTTCTCCCAGAAGAGCTTCAACCACAGCAGCTTTTTGCAATGGTGGTGAAGACAAGTGTCAGTGGGGGGATGATCTGCGCAAGTATGGAAGAGACCTTGGTGAGAGAAGTGTGCAGACCGTGACATTACAAACTGCTTCAGGTTCAGCACTACAGGATTCATAAATATCCTTATGTTAAATGCATGGTTGACAGGGTTAGACAGCAAGATAAACAAACACACCCATTAATTTTCATTTACGTGTTTAAAAATAGTGTATCCGCAATATTGAGCATACAATATTATTGAAAAGGTATTTAAAAGTGAAGTTTCTTTACCATTTGCTCCTGAACACTTCTCTTTGCTTGGGAAAATGCCTGCTGTAATTCACTGAGTAAGGTCTCAGACTCCTGAGATCTAACAATAAGTGAAGATATCTTCCAAAAACCAAAAACAAAGAAAGATCTAGTTACGTGTCTGAAACAGATTAAGCAGGTTTTGAGAGAGTATTGAATATCCATCCATTCCCACTTTTCAACCCTCACATGTACTTCAGATATTACAGCTTTCTATTCATTCAGACCAGGTTTTGTTTTATTGGCTCATGCATCACACGCTCATTATTTGAAAGAGATACTCTAACTCATACAGACAGAATTAAGATGTGTTTTTTTACAAATAGTATATTAATTCTACTGAAAACTAACATTGAAATAGTAGTTAATTCTGATCATACCCAAATGTAGATACTTCAGAGCCAATTAAGGCAGAAAAAAACAGATCTATTTTTCCAGGTTAGAAAGATAATGCTTTCTTTAAAAAAAAAAAAAAAAAAAAAAATGTTTTCAGTGGAAATGCAGTACTTTTTGAAATATAAAATAAGAGATTCAGAATTCTGACTATAAAATAAAATCTTATTCCATGGCTTGTAAAGAAAAAATGCTCATTATTTAGGTTTGATATTCCCTTAAACATAGAGTGAACTGTACTGAAAGCCAGAGTACAAACTATCTAAATTTAATTCCATGCCCAGACGACTTTGTCCACTGGTTGTCGTTTTATTAGTAGGATAAAACATAAAAAAAAAAATCTGATTGATTCCAGGGAAATAGCACCCAAAATTATGCACACTTTGTTTCTCCATTATTGTACCACAGAAATCAACAGGTCTGCGGCCCTGAGTTTACAGTACTGTACATTACAGGCACAGAAAAAAGTTTAAAAAGTCTATAAATACCAGCCTTATTGACCATTTTACTACTATTACTATTTGTATTGTGATAGCACCTAAGAATCCATCAGAGACCAAGTCCCGATTGTGCTAGGGGCTGTACAAATAGAGCAAAAATAATGAATGGGGAGTTTCAGACTGAAAACTTCCCAATTCAGGTTCTCATGGTAAGAATCAGAAGAGACAGGTGTGTATTCTGATCAACTATAGTCATTCCCTGCCCAAACAGATAAGCATTAAATGGGTGTCTCCTTCTCAATTGCATTAGCTACCTGTCAAGTGCTGATAAGGTTAAATGGTATGATGGGCTAGATTCACAAAAGGACTTATGCTCCTAAAACCCAGACTCAGGCCCCACTGGGATTCACAAAACTCTTGCTCAGCTGCCTCTGAGCCTTGTAGGTGCTTAAACTCACTGAGCACCTCCATTTTTGCAGTAAAAGTTCCTCAGCGCCTATGTTTCTGTCTCTGAGCCGTCTGGACACCAAAGCCCAGTGCGATGCACAAACTAGGGGACGATAGGTGTTCCTCTGCCCAACTCACTTGTGGGGCCCGATAGAGTAAGCACGCTCAGAACTTGCCTACTGGATCAAGCCCCACAGATAAGCTTACACTAAATTTCCAAGAGGTGGGAAAAATCTCCCTCATAGCTTTTAGCCTGGTGGTTAGGGTACTCACATGGGTACTCCTCTGTGCAAAAACGGCATAGGCACCTAATGCTAAGAGAGGGTTTGCAGCTGAGAATCCCAAACAGAGGGAGGCACCCCCCTCTACCTTGAACTTAGGTGCTTCTCTCCAAGAGAGGGGTGGGGCTTAGCAGACATCCCTTGGCTTGGCATCTCCCATTGGCTAGCTTAGGTGAGGAGCTATCTAGCATGCTGGCTTTTGTGAATCCCATTCTGAGGTGTCCATCTCCCCCCATTCATTACGCAGGGAGCTCAGGCGCTGAACTCAGGCTTTGTGAATCACACTGACTTTCTAGGCGCCTATAAGTTAGATGTGGCAACGCCCAGTGTCACCACGCCTAAGTTTCTCTGTGAATCTAGCTGGAAGTGTATATCCACAAAAGAGATTTAGAAAAGGCTAGGTGCACAGAACCTTACATTCTTATTTTTTGGATCTTCTACAATGACTCCCTACTCTTAAGAGACTTAAATGCTACTCATTGGGTCAAGGATCTCATCTAAAATAAATTTTTGCAAGCGACCAATGCTAGGTCACCTGCACCCCACGGTGCTCCAGAGTCTAGAAAGTACTACTTATTAAAGGTACAAAGGGAATTCTAGGTATCTGCAAAAAAAGTGTGTGTGTGTATGTATATATATATATATATATACATACATACACACATACACATACACACACACATACACACACACACACCCCTTACGTCAAAGAAGCAGCCACATCCCTAGTGGAATGGCTTTCAAGCCCCCTCTTGAATAGAATATTTGATAAGCTTGTAACAGTTGCATCTTATTGATGTATTAAAAAGCCTTTGCTGAAAGAAGAAATCTATATTTTATGGTCCAAAATCTGATAACAAAACAAGTTCATTTTGCAAGTAAACTTAAAGTGACAGCTGACTTTTTGGCACCCAGTTTGTGAAATATAACCTGAATGTTGAATTAACATGGCTTTAGAAGGACTAACAAAATGCTTCAAGAACAAGGGGGGTGACGGAAAGAAGGCAGCGATAACTAAGTGAACTCACAGAAGTAACATTAAATCTAATATGGGCAACAGAGGAGATACAGATATATGCCAGATGCTTGTATAAGATCATCCTGACAAGGTATCAGTACTCTGTAGTAAAAGCAATCCTGGACATTTTCATTTGAGTAGCTCCTAGAGTAGGGAGTCTGCGCAGATCCTCACAATTAAGACGACTATTTGAAAATTAAGAACTGGAATACAAAAACATTCCTTTTGAAGAATCCACTTCTTTGCTACAGTGAAGCTTTTTTTTTTTTTTTTTACCTGAGTAGCAGAGTCTTCACTGCTTTGCTTCATGTAATCTTCCAGCTCCTGTTTATCTTTCATTGTTTTTTCCAGCTGGTCATTAGCCTGCCTCAGCATCACCTGCAGCTTTTTCACCTATATGGTTAGACCAAAAGATTGGAAGCAACCTTTCTTTAAAGGGCAAATCTGTTTCCCCAAAACATGAATGTAATGTAAAAACATTCTGAATTTAGAATTGAGAGTCACAAGAGTTCCTTTGCTGTTTTTCTGCAAAACAGCATGCCTTATTGATTAGATCCATAATGGAATATAGAAAGCTATATTCCAGTGGATCTCTACTACTCAGGATAAGAAAAAGATTCAGTCTTCAGAATCATTAAAGGGTGTCATTCAGACCCGGAATGAAGTCAGAGGGAAGGGTTGAAGGCTTAAAAATTCTTCAGTGCACAGGCAGGGGGGACTCATTATAGATGCTTTAGAATTATTTTATGCTGTTGGCACAAAAGTTACATATAATCTACTTTTGCCTTTGCTGCAGCAGTTCTCATGGTGTCAGTAAATACAATAGAATTTATAAAGTGAAAAGCACTTAAGGAATTATTCAGTTCAGCCCAAAAAATCATTACAAGGATATTTCATTCAGGATGACTGCATAATGCATTTTTACTTTTTGGTAGAACACAGGGTCTTTCATTGCATGATAGCGTAGTACTAAGTAATGTGGCATACTACTTGGCAAATATCTAAGTAGTATGCATATGCAAGCATGCATGATTTCATACACAAATTGCAGCAAATTGGATTACAGCACTAAATTGGCATGAGCTTCCCAGAATTCGAAGTAGCTTAACTAAAATCCCTGAAAATAAAGTAAATAAGATAAAATGGCAGATAGTTAATAGCTACATTCTTGGCCGTTTCTACAGCTAGCCCGGGAAAAAAACCCTTACCTGATCTCTTGTCTCGGCCTCCTGAATCTGGATTCCCTGTAACTGCTTCTCATAATTCGAACACATATCACAGCGTCTTCCCAGCTTGTTTCCTGCATTCTGCACCTGGAGGACACAAAGATATTACTTGCCATAAAGACTTTAAAAGGAATGTCTGAGTGATATATAGACTCACTCATGTTGTGCAATCATAGAATGTTGCTGCAGATAAGAGCTATGGGTGTGGAAAATTTCTGGAAGAGACAGGAGCAGAAGTCATGTAGCAGCAGGATTAAATTATTTTATGCCTAAAGAGCAATATAAACAGAAAGGACCCAAAGACAAGTGATCTAAATGGTTAGAGATGGAAAGACTTCGACATGGAGATCACAAAGACAGGGACTGTTAAGCTTAGAAACGAGACTAATAAGAGGGGATGTGAAAGAGATATAAAAGATAAAGAATGGTAGAGAATGAAATAGGAACACTGATTATCCCTGATGTTATGTAAGAGTAAGTCAATAAAAACAAGAGACAACTAAAAAAAACCACTTGCATAGTTAACCTGTGAAACACACTTCCACCAGGTAGCACTGAGGCCAAAAGCTTAGCAGGATTTAAAAAAATTAAATTTTTACATGGATAAGAATAATATCAATTTTTTTTTATTTTACAAAAATTGTAAGAAGTATAAACACTTATCTTTCTGGGCATAAGCCTGTGGTCAGGAAGAAACTTCCCCTATGAACAGATACCATAATTCCAAGTTTTTCATAAAAAATAATACAGGCAAGATTCCCAGCTGGTGTAAATTACCATAGCACCCTTGATGGAGTTACACCAATTTACGCCAGGTGAGGATCTGACCCCATGATTTTTAGGGCGCTTTCATAGCAAGACAACATCCTGACACTGAAGAAGTTCATGGGAGCTTTGCCATTGACTTCAGTGGGGCCAAGATTCCACATGTGGTCGTTGTAACTCTCAGCAAAACACTATCAGTCAAGGCTCCTTCATGTTTTTTAACAGGCTTGGCTCTATATATGTCCAGCAAGGTGAAGTATGGAGAATGTCCTATTTTCTGAATGGCTTAAAAAAAATTGCAAAATACATATTTTTTCCAAAAGAATACAACACTTTTGGCATTTTTCTTGTAAATTTGTGATTTCCTTCCCCCCCTCCAATAACTTTCCCCACTTTTTGCTATGACATCCAGCCAGCTTTAATTAGGGGGGTTTCTGTCACCTTCCTCTGCTGCACCTGTTACTGCTCAATGTCAGATAGAGGTCCATCTAGTTCAGTATCCTATGTTGCCATTTTTACATTTTAATGGTTTTATTAGGGATTCAGACTAGTGTTTTATCAAAGCAATAGCTACAAGTCAGTGCTGTGAATTGGAATCTCATATGTATTTCTCACTCTCCTCACCACCCACCCAGAGCTGTATTCATAGCTGCCTGAACTGTGGATTATATTCCTGCCTCCAGAATTAAGTGGAAACAGTATTTCTCTCAGAATTCCAAGAAAGGGCTGGAGTAAAATGTCATCCAAATGCCAAGGGAGCAAGAATATGTTCAGAAGGCTATAGAGGACTGGATTCATCCATGAAATCATTATAATGTAGGGTCTCCCTCTACACCACAAGGAAAGGATAATTGCTTTATTCATTCATCTCTTCACTCCTGGCAATCCTTCCTCCTGTGTTTGCTTCGGTCCTGCCTTTTCTTCTCCCCTTTTTGTACTTGCATTTTTACCTTCCTTTCTTCCACTTTATTCTCTCCCATTTCCTCCATTTTAGAGTTTCTTCTTAGCCCCCCCCCCCCCCCCTTCCTTTACATTTTAGTCTATGTGGAGCTGGTGGGCATAGCTGCTGAGCACAACTGCATTCCTTGACGGGAGAACGAGCCTGGGCTTTGAATTTGTCACCATATACAGTTATTAAAGGAACTGACAGATAGAACTCCCCAAAGTGGCACTTGCCTTGGTCAGCTCACAATGAAACTAACTAGAACTGTAATGTGTCAATTTCAATCTGCTGCATGGGGTCCAGGGAAATCTGTTCCTTACAGGGGCAAGTCCCTGAAAAATGTCTGAAGTTGATTATATTGTAGCCTAACTGGCTACAACCATTTTGGTCACTCATCTCTAAACTTTGTTTCCTGCATAACCCTTGGTGGATAAGTGGATCAGTGTTAGGCCCACCACTGTTTCCTGTTAGACTTCTTCATCCTGTCCTGCACCACATTTGGCTCTCCCCACTCCCACATCTCACAGGTGCTTTATATTTTCTTCTCTCCTTTTCATTACTCATCTTTTCTCTATATCTTTTCCCTTACTGCAAGGTCAAAACCACCTTTGAAGCAACAGTCAGATTCCTAAATCAGATCCCCTCTGCAGCCCTTCCTAGTGTAATACACTTCAGGGTTTCATGAAAAAGAAAGTTGACTCTGACTGTTCCTACTCAGGGGAGTCTCCATCTACATCAAGCACGCTTGATGCACAGGACTATCTTCAAATGGAAACTAACCGGGATCACATGAAGCTAGTCAATTTCCTTCTCCAGTTCCTTTGTAGCTGCTGGATTAAATACTACTGCTCCAGAGCAATTCAGAAGCACTGAACACAGAAGCTATACTGAGAAGGGAAGACAAAAGAGACTACTTACCTCCTTCTGAAGCAGATTCCATTCTGTCTCACTAACTAAGCGGTAACCACTAGGAGACACATAAGCACTCTCTACAACCTGTGTAACGCTGGAGAGAAGGGATGCAGTCTCCTCTTGCTCTGGTGTCATTGCTTTGATTGCTTTTTCCTGATCTTTGGTTAACATGAATCCACTTGGCATTTGCAGAGACCCAAGGGAGGCAGTATCAAAGTTCTCAGACACTGAATCTGCTCCAACTAGTGGTCCAAAATCAGATTCATCCAGATTCCCAGCAGATTTTGCTTTGTGGTTGTATCCTAAAGTTTTGGACTGTAAAGATCCCGATGTCCCCAGGCTGTCTGTAGACTGTGCTCTCCGAAGTCCATCTTTAAACAGATCATTGTCTGATTTATTGAAAGACTCACCAGAAGATAATAACAAGTCTGTGTCTAATGAATGGACTGATCCATGAGCACTATTTAAATGTATCTGAAATTGAAAAAAAGAGAAGGTAAGCCAAATTCCTGTCTTTGCACTGGAAGTAACAGCAAAACAAATCGAATACTGGGCGCCAAACATCTGACATGATAGCTACTGATTTAAATTAGCTTTGGTGAGAACATTTGTGACAGCTGAAATTAAGAGTGAAGAGTAAAGATTCAGAACCAAATGGTATACGTAGCTACAGAGTTTTCCCAACATTGTTCTGCTAACAGAGCTCCACTTCCCTAGGAAGTGCACCTCCCTGCCAGCTCACTTAGCAGTGAAAAACAAGCTACACAACGTAGTACCATATTGATTATTTACAAAATTCTGCTTATTAGTGAAAGCAAAATTCCACTGCCAGCTAGCATAAACATCTCCTTTTCTAGAGCAAAACTGGGCTTGATATCAACATCACTAACATTTAAAACAATTATTGTGAATGATTATGAACTGAAGTCAACTGTATAACAACAGGTGTATGTTTTTTCCCCCTTTGCTTGTCTTATACAAAATATCCCTTTGTCCTCCTTGCTCAATATTTTTGTGAGATTTTAATTAAAGAACATGCTTCTCTTCTTAAACTACTGCAACGTATATAAATATATGCATACATAAAGTAAACTGGAAAATTGAATAAGGGTGGAATTAAATGTGTGCATGCACTGAGGATTCTAACATCTCTACAAGCCATGTTAGCTTTATTCTCTGATCTACTCCTTAGAGTTGGGAGTCTGTGTATGTATTCTCTTAATCACAAAACCTAGAATTACAATGCTGTTTTCAAAAATATTTTCCAACATTTTGATGATTTCTGCTTTTAATTTAGAGATGTAAAGCAAATAGCATTTCATCATTCAGTCTAAATTCTTCTAGGTGTTCTTGGTGTCTGTTCCAGAAATGGCTCTTTCTAGGGTTGCCAAGTGGGCTGTCTAAATGGAGGAACTTGTTCCTTCTAACAGTCTGTAAAAGGCTGACTTTTGGTAGTATTCAGGGTTCAGTATAAAGTGTACCTATCTAAATTGGGTTTTTAGTCAGTAACCCTTAAGGCAAAGGTACATGTGTGCAGATACAGAGCAGTAATTTTTCAGAACCGTCCATGGAGTGACTCTCATTCTTTCCTATTTTGAGGAACTGAATAGAAGACACTGTGTAAATAAGTAGATCTAACCACTGTCATTTAATTCAAATTCTGATTAAAAAAAATCTGTATCTGAACAGAATTTGTAACATGCAAGCTTTAGCTCTAATGCAAATCTGAAATGAAGTTATTGATGGAAACTCAACAGCTTCTTAAATAAAATGGGCATGGTAGGCACTACTATTATGGAACAAAATATGCCATAGCATGAATTATGTTGTAGAGACTCAAGTCCATGTGTTAGGCTTGAAGTATTCTGCTCATGCTGTTAACATAAAACTAGGCAGGAGTGGTCAGGATGTAAATTACCGTAATGTTATTACAACTATTAGAGGAAAGCATTTTATCACCACATTTTTAAACACAAAATTAATCAGTAGTATTCTTAAAGTTGTAATGCAACAATGGTACGTATTTTTAAAACAAAGAATCTCTAAAAAACAAACTTCTGGATAAGGCTCAAATTCTGATCAAGAGAAAAGTCTGTTTGACAGTAAACTGCATCCCAATATGCAAGTTTTTGGAGAACTTCTAACAGACAGTTGTTTTTACTGATCGATGTTGAAGAATATCTTTCTTTTTAAATGTTTTTTAAAATTCCATTTTGAATAATCATCCAAGAGAGTAAAGCTAAAACACTTTAATCTGACTAATAACATTGTTTAGTATTTTTCTGCAAGGACCCTTGCAATAGAGAAAACCTTCGATAGAATTTACATGTCACACATTTAAAAAAAAAAAAAAAAGTCGAATGCTGGCTTTTTTTGCATGTATTGATTCATTATTTAAAGCTTGTCTAAGACTTCCTGAAAAATAGCAGCTTCCTTTTTTACGTTACATTTTGTAGGAAATGCAACACAACACATGCTTAAAATGGATGGAGGATGATATGCCTAAAAAGCATGCCTAAAGAGTTTACGCTGTAACCAAGAGGTGGAATTCTGTGTAGGTTACATGTCATTTTAAAAAGATACAGAGAAGGTAACTAGGCTGATGCTACAGTTTGTGCACACAAGCAAATGATCCATGACTTGTAAATCCTATTAAATGTTCTATAGAAGAGAGCTTACAGCTGAAGTATATCAAATTGTGTGAATGACATGACTGATTTGTAGGAGTCATTACCTTCTGTATATATCCAAGCAAGCCATACTCTCTACTCAGAGCATAAAATATTTAAGATATTCCAGCAGGCATGACTGCTAATGCTAAATAAATGCAGCTGTTTAAAAAAAAAAAAAAGCAGTAGCAAATATTGTGTCCCAGGGAATTAAATTAAAATAAAGTGTTCATAGACTGAATGTTCTTTTCACTGGTTCCCAGATTCTTTAATTGGGGCACACAAATGCTAATGGCTTGCTGTACAGTGTATAAAACAAAAGACTGTGAAAGCTAGCACTCTTATTGGAAGATGTGGGAAAAGCTAAGTCTCAATGATTAGGTTGTAGTTGATTTCTCAACCAATTCCAAGGCATCATTACACCATTTGAAGAAACTGAAAAAAATCACTGACTCTTTCTCTTACTAAACAGTCTTCTAGAACCCATGCCTTGTAGCATCCAATAGAGAAATGCATTCAAGCCAGCACACAAGGGGGAAAGTAGATTGAGGACCTGCATTCAATTTTAGACCGACCAAGACAAGGAAATTCAAATTTAAATCTTTTTATCCTTAACTCATCACATCAAATCTAGGCCTTGCAAGTAATCTGAGAACAGTAATGATCCCAAACCATGTGTGCACTGCAGTGTTTATTCATAATTTGGTTTAAGGCAAAGTGAATTTGATAATTTTGTAGTTTAAAGTCAATTCTTTAAAGTACATTTATATATATATATATATATATATATATGTTTATTTTTAATTATTTTAAAAACAAGTTTATTAACAGCAAAAAGGGCTACTGAACTGCTGGTGAATAGCAATACTTCTGTGATGGAAAAAGTGCAAATTATCAAATACTACTGACAATTTAAAAAAGAAAGATGACTGTGACTTCATTATGACAGCCCCGGGTGTTTTGCATGGCAGAAAGGTCTGGAACGTCTGTCTGCATTTTAGACTAGTTTGGGATGTGTATTTTACATTTTGTATATGGTTATCAAATCAGCAGATTGTTAAACACTGTAAAGGTATATTAAACTCTCTCTCTCTCTCTCTCTCTCTCTCTCAAAATTCTCAGGCCTATGTTCTCTCAAAGCATGTGCAAGGCCATGCAAAGTCCCAAATCTATTTTTCAGGGCTTACATATAAGCTTACACAGCATGGAACAAAGGTTTTTTTTAAAACAAAAATGTATCCCTACTAAGCTGCACATCCAAAAAAATGAATGGTCAGGGAATCATTAGAGAGACTAAAGGAACACAAAGAAAAAATGCATTTCAACTAGCCAAGTTTTATATTGTTTCTAAATTTCAAGTTGTGTATTCAATTTTACTTGCTTTTCACAAATGAACAATTGAGGCAATTTCAAATATTATTTCACTCTTCACAAAATGCACAGTAATAGTATAATTTACACAGTATACACCAAAAAAAACGGATTGTTGTCAATGGTATCTCTCTTCTTTGGCAGTTCTAACAGGGGCTACTTAATACTGGGATACCCAGCTCAAGAAGACGCAACGAAACTTCAGTGCAGAGTCCTAGCTTCTGGATTGGATAGAGCAGCTTCCCTTTGGCTGCTAAAAACATGGGAACAGATCCTCAACTTGAGAAAATTGTTGTAGCTCAACTGAAGTTAATGGAGCCATGACATTTTACACCAGCTGAAGATCTGTCTCAATTATTAGTTTATGGCCAAAGACTAATTGGATTGATACAAAATTAGCATGAAATTCACCAGGTACCAGTTAGCATGACAGAGAGAGGAAAATCTCGTATGTCATAATTTTGCTGGTTTTTAATGCAGAAGGCTTAGACAGAGGGTGGTCAAAAGTACAGGTTATGAGGCACACTTTCTAATTTTAATAATGTAATACAGTTCTGTTATACTGAAAATACAAAAAGTTATAATTCTAAAAAGCTTATCCATTGGAAGAGTCGTAGTTCAGTATTTATTCAAACAAATGCTATTCAAAAATAGTCACCATTTAGTAGGAATTATAGCCAGCAGCGGATAAACAAATACATACTTATCAAGGGTGCTTACTGAACACCTTGGGAAACGCATACTATACAAAGTTGTTTTGAACTACTCATTTGTTTTACCTCTTCATTAAGGAACTGCGTAAGGGATTCTTCATGGGTTAGAGAGCATACTACTTTTGTTTCATCATCTGGATCTTGCTGTTTCTGTTTCTTCCCTTTGCTAAGTCGCTGCTGTTCATCGTCTTCCTAGAAGCAAGTTGTAAACAAAAAAGCATTTAAACAGGATTCATTTCTGGCTTATTCCACTGGAATTTGAACTTGGTGGTCATCACATGAACTCCCCTAATAAATCAAACTGCAGAGGGAAGGTAACTGGGAAGGTCACTGATGGGAGAAAAACAAATATCACTTTTACAAGAGAAAGCTTCTACTTTAGCTCAATGTGGCACCATATACCTCTCTCACTACTGGTGGCTGATTCATGGATCCACAGTGAGCTTTGTTCCAAAAGGAATTGCTTATTTACTTCCCTTCTTATGTCAAGTACGATGAAACAGGTAAAAACCCAAAACTGCTTAAGCTGGTTATCCTATGGAACTTGCTAGCAACATGCCTGTACACACTGAATGGTCCCAACTCCATTAACAAAAGCATGGAAATCAGAACAAAACTAGATGAAATTAACTGCCTTAGGCACATTGAAAAATGCAAAGAAACCATACAAGATGACAAACATCAAGGAATGTTTATTTTTTTTAAATTGTGATCTTGAAGCACACATCTTGAAGCACACAATTTAACCTTTCTTTCTAGTAGCACTTGCAACCAAGTCCCTTTAATTTATTCAGGGGCCAATCACTGTTTACAAAAAATACAAGGCAGTCAAAACTTGCCATTCCAATTTCCTTGACCCAGGCCTTGGATACTGGAGGTGACTTCCAAGCTTAATCTCTAGCCACTCTTACATTTCCATGTAATGAACTTGGCAGCATTGCCACACAACTATACCCGTATACTGGTATGCCAGTATTTATCTATCAGTTTTTCAGAAACTTAGACAGAACCTTTTAATAATTTCTTAGAAGGTGTAACTAATAATTTAGGCTATACTTTGTAAAATGTAAGAGCCAAAATCATGTGTACTCCTGTCCACAGATTGTACATTTAATAACTATTATATCGTATTAACTCAACAATGTCACACTATAAATAAAGTGAAGACACAAGAAACCTGATCCTTCTTTTTCAGTTCTTCAACTTGTCGGAGCTGTTCAGAGGTCAGAACGATTTCCATACGTTGCATGTCCCTCATCAACAAACGCTGAGACTCCAAGAACTGGTCATTGGCCCTCTGCCAGGTATGTTTCAATTGGTTATGCTGCTGTCGCTCTTGGTCTAACAGATGGCAGACTATTCAGGAAGCAAAAAGTGTTATTCTTAATTGGATTGTAATGGTTGACCATTTTACTTTTCTCCAGACAGTCTTAGGAATTAAAGTAACTGTTAGGACTCTGCAGAAAATAAATTAATCTGAGTTTAATAATTGAAACATATTAAGCTTTCTAAAGTCCCAAGAGTTGATAGGGTTAGAGGCATGAGTTACTAACAATAATATTCTTATTATTTCAATGCCCAGAAGCTGAAGAATGATAGGAATTTACCATAAGCAAAATTACGAATGCAATCTGTTGTCTCAGGAGTTCATTTATTTCAAAGGAAAATTTGCCTCTTCATACTCCTTTTTAGTGGTATTACATGGTATTTGCAGTTGCACATGAGCACAAATGTGCACGTAGGCATACATCCTCCTTTCCCATTATTCATAAAACTCTGACATAAGAGTGTATGCTGATTAGAGTTGGGATCATGCCCTTTTGTGTTTCAACAATCCTTGGCATACTGTGTTACTAGAAACACATATTACTGTTACTAATAATTCTACCCAGGGATACCAGAAAAATCAGGATAACAATGAGAGCAAAGGCTGTGATACCATCAGAGCCTAGTACAAGTTCGACAAGTTCTTTGGTGAAAATAAGTGGATCACCCACTGCAAATATATGGAACAGTACTAGAATCATTTGTTGGGTAGAAACTTCAAGTGCCTTAGTGTTTAAAATATTTGGTCAGTAAGCCAAGATAAGAAACCAAGAGAAAAAGCTTTGTCTACATTGTCTTCCAAATCTTTAGCGTAGGCAAAAGTCAGACTGACTGCTGTTATGTAGTTACCTTCATGAAGTTCTTTCCGTAATTTCTCAGCATCTTCTTGCAAGACTGATTTCTGAGTATTCAGAACAGCCACATACATCTCTAAATCTGTCCTACATGACTTCTCAGCTTCCAGGTAATGGTTCAGTTCTTTAACCTGAGGAAGGTAAGTGAAGCGGGGGGAGGGGAGGGGACATAACAATTTAGGGTTACAATGATAGAGATTTTATTTTTGTTATATATTACTGTATTGACTGTTGTGATTATGTGTAGGTGATGAGCTCAACTTTATTTATAGGAATAACAAATAACTGACGATCTATTGTGCAAGGACAATACATATTTAGATCATTATGTAAACTAGTTCCTCATTTATGTTCAGAGTACATAAGTATATAGTTAGAGATTTGGCAGGTAGCACTGAACCATGATGGCAACTTTGAGTATTTACATGCTGACTCCAGTGACTCCAGAGTATCCCTACTAAAATCATGTATTGAGTCCTTGTATTTTGACATCCCCAGACAGTTAATTTATCCTTAAATAGCAAAAGCAAGCAGATCATTAACAGTTTAAATGCTTTCCAGTAACACTGTTTTGGCAGCCAGGAGTAGGAACATATTACTGATCTGGAACATCTTATGCTGCATTTACATTCATAATGCTAAGGGCATATTGGTAGCGTGCCAAGAGCCGGAAGGCTACATGTGCATATAAGTATATATAAATGCTATAATAAGAAATATATGCAGCCATATTAGAAAGCTTGTACTTCTTTGCTACATATAGACAATAGAAATTGAGTACAATGGCAAAATCCTGCAGTTACACAGAAAGGACAGCTGGCGGCCACCTTTCATGATCTTGCCGTTTACATCTGGTCCCAAAGCCACGCACTGTCCATAGCTGCAGCAGTACAGCTGAAATTCAAAAGGGGACAAGTTCTCCGAACGTATTTTGAAATAAAAATAATAATGGCTACAAGAGTCTCTAGTAAAGAATAAAATTGTCAGACACAGAGATAGATGAACATAATTTGTTGGGGAAGAGTCAACATGGTTTTTGTAAAGGGAAATCATGTCTCACCAATCTACTAGAATTCTTTGAGGGGGTCAACAAGCATGTGGACAAGGGGGATTCAGTGGATATAGTGTACTTAGATTTTCAGAAAGCCTTTGACAAGGTCCCTCACAAAAAGCTCTTAAGCAAAGTAAGCTGTCATGGGATAAGAGGGAAGGTCCTCTCTTGGATTGGTAACTGGTTAAAAGATAGGAAACAAAGGGTAGGAATAAATGGAAAGCAGTAAATAGTGGTGTCCCCCAGGGGTCTATACTGGGGGCCCAGTCCTATTCAACATATTCATAAATGATCTGGAAAAAGGGGTAAATAGTGAATGGCAAAATTTGCAGATGATACAAAACTACTCAAGATAGTTAAGTCCCAAGAAGACTGCGAAGAACTACAAAAGGATCTCACAAAACTGGGTGACTGGGCAATAAAATGACAGATGAAATTCATTGTTGGTAAATGCAAAGTAATGCACATTGGAAAACATAATCCCAACTATACGTATAAAATGATGATCTTGGAGTCATTGTGGATAGTTCTCTGAAAACATCCACTCAATGTGCAGCAGCAGTCATAAAAGTGAACAGAATGTTGGGAATCATTAAGAAAGGGATAGATAATAAGACAGAAACTATCATATTGCCTCTATATAAATCCATGTCTTGAATACTGCGTGCAGATGTGGTCGTCCCAACTCAAAAAAGATATATTGGAATTGGAAAAGGTTCAGAAAAGGGCAACAAAAATTATTAGGGGTATGGAAAGTCTTCCATATGAGGAGCGATTAATAAGACTGGGACTTTTCAGCTTGGAAAAGAGATGACTAAGGGAGGATAGGATAGACGTCTATAAAATCAAAACTGGTGTGGAGAAAGTATAAATAAGGAAGTGTTATTTATTCCTCATAACACAAGAACTAGGGTCACCAAATAAAATTAATAGGCAGGAGATTTAAAACAAACAAAAGGAAGTATTTTTTCACACAACACACAGTCAACCTGTGGAACTCCTTGCCAGAGGATGTTGTGAAGGCCAAGACTATAACAAGGTTCAAAAAAGAACTTGATAAATTCATGGAGGATAGGTCCATCAATGGCTATTAGCCAGGATGGGCAGGGATGATGCCCCTAGCCTCTGTTTGCCAGAAGCTGGGAATGGGCGACAGGGGATGGATCACTTGATGATTACCTGTTCTGTTCATTCCCTCTGGGGCACCTGGCATTGGCCACTGTTGGAATACAGGATACTGGGCTAGATGGACCTTTGTCTGACTCAGTATGGTCGTTCTTATGTTCTCTGCTGTGGCATACGAGAAGGGTCTTGTGGTCACTTAGTCTGTGCCTCCATATCCCCCCGCCCACCCTACAAAATAGGGAAAAATTTGTACTTCCCTAACTCACAAAACGTGTTGTATTAATATAGGTGGAATATATGGGTCAAAGGTGTTAATATAACCCAGTCACTGTTTAATATTAAACAGTGTTAAGCAAGGTTCCGGGTCTGGTATACAGTTTGCTTAGTACCATGACATATACACCATTAAAATAATAAATTATTACAACTGTAGTTTAAATTCATCAGGATTTGTGAGGCAAGCAGATACCAAGGGTGGGACCATATGTAAAAAGTACCTAAGAATGGCAGACAATGAACTAAGCAGTCATAAGTCTTTGATTTCTTATGAAAACTATAGCATCCTAACACAACAACATGAAATCAAAACTACCAGACAACTCTGGAGGGGTTCCCAGGAGCTTACCCCGATCGTCCACAACTTTAGATGTAACACCATGACATGACATGGAAGTCATGACAGATGCCCAGAAGTACAGTTCCAAGATCACCTTCCTGCTGCAACATACCATAAATGTTGGGGCCACATTTTCGCACAATAGGATGCAAATAACTCCCACTGACTTTGGTAAGGGTTACTCATTCTGTGGGGTGGGAAATATAACTCCTGGAAGATTGACATGGGGAGGGGTGGAAAAGCAGGAGACAGAGACTGCTCTCACTGATTGACTCCTGCCTGAAAAGCATACAAATTTGGGAAAACAGTTGTGTGAGCTCCCAGATAGATTTGAGGGACTTCAACAGGCCAAAAAACCAAAACCAAATGATCACTCGTTATATACCATCTGGCAAGGCTCAGGCCAACCTAGCGCCTAAATAATACTTTGCACCTTATGAACAATAGAAATTGATGAAATTAAAACTAAAACTTCAACATATTTGTGAGGCAGGTAAGTGGAGGCAAGGGATCAAAGAGTCAGAGAAGTATGTCTGGCAAGGACTTACTTGCTATGCAAGACAAACTGCAATCCTTCCTGATGGTGCAAGAAGGATGACTGAAACATCCAATACGAGAACTTTAGATGGACAAAATGTTGGAGCTGAACAACAGCATTAAAGATCTAAGTCAGCATTAATGGTGTCAACTATCACCTCTTTTGGTGGGAAATACTTTACAAAATGAAGCCCATCATAAAAAAAAAAAAACAGTTACAAGTTTTACAAAATTCAGGCTCGTGTACCTATTTTGTGGGTATCCCACTAGGAGAGAGACCGATTCCTGTAACATTGATGAAGTTGCTACCAAAATTGCTCATCCTGAATAATGTAGATGATCAATTATGTTTAGACAGAAGCTACTGAATACTTGTAAAAGAACAGGATGAAAAGAATAATTCCAGATGCTACTATCATAATCTTTATGAAGAAAGTCCTGACTACTTTGGAAAACAAGAATTTATAAGAGGGAGAGGAATGGATTCACTTTTTCCCTGACTTCAGTCTAACAATGCAAATCAAGAGTGAGGCACTAAGGGAAAAAGCAGAATCTTATTCCCAGACAAAATCTGGGCTATTCAAAAAACAAAAATCATCTTCTGGATGAGAAGCCTGTAAACTGGAAAGAATCTGCGAGGAAGATGAGGAAGAGAAACACAAATCAATGATGAGTATGGTCTGCCAGTCAGACTGGTGTGCTTTTTCCGCCTCTTCAAGAAAAAAAAAAAAAAAAAAGATGTATATTGTTCTGTATGTGAGGGACATCCATTAGCCTTTTAAATGGATGTATACTGTAAGTTTGCAAGGCAGGCTAATACTTTACTTACCTTCCTTGTAGCTCCTGAATACTCTGGATCTTTTGGGAATTTCAGTATATTTGATTTCTAAGATGGAAAAACAGATGCTTCAATTGCCACCTTCCCCTCCCCATAAACAGTAGACAAAATGCAGCTAATCTGTGGCAATATAGTGCTCATTTCTTTATTCCCTTTGGCTGATTTTTTTTTTTAGCAAATTGGGTTAAACATGTCTTCTAGCCTAATAGATGGAGCAAAAAATTTGGATAAGTAAAGCTTTATAGAAAAAATGCTAGAAGTTGGTGCTAAGAGATCAATGTAAGATGTAACAAAATTCTAAGAAAGTGAATCTAGCAACCTCTGGAGGGGAAGCCCCAGTTCTAGAAGATTAAAAACACTGCCAATTACAAAACTTCCTTTGTGGCTTTAAATGGCCTATAATGCAGTGACACCTAATTGCTTGAGAGGACAGACTATATCTACCTATATGGAGCTTTATTACTGATATTTCTGATCATCTAAACTACATGAGCTCAGCTTTAAGCATGAATAATTTTTACACGTTACCAGATCCTCAAAATAGAAACACAGCTTAATATGTACAGTCTAGATAAATAGTATAGTTTTATTTGCAAGACAAGGGCAGACACTTAAATTGTTCATTTCCCACTTCACATTACATCTTTATTTGTGTATCTGACGCAAAGTTTGCAATCAGTTGTTTGTATCAATAAACTGCCATAATGCAAGATGCACATTCTCTCTGCAGATATAGATTAAAATAGTTAGAATTTCACCTCACCTTTGAAGCCTCCTGTTCTTTTATCTTTTCTTCAGCTTCTGTTAGTTTTTCCTTTAAAACTGCGATCTCTTTCTCCATAGGCATCACGACTGAACGAAGTTTCTCAGCATCCTCTTGGGCCTGAAATCAGTTGGTAATGTGTTAATGCAACATATTACTTTGCAATAAAAACAAAAAGTCGTCTTCCACAAGAGAAATGAACAAAATTGATATGCCAAAAATCAAACCACACTTTTGCTTATAATATTTGTTATATTACTTATATATTTAGCTAGTCCCAAGTGTTCTCTAGGATAAAATAAAATTCGTCCCATTCGTTGAAAGCAATGGAATTGGCCAAATTCATCCATGGATGTACATGTGTCTGCTTTTACAGGAGAAAGCTAGTACATCTTTCCCCTTCCTAACTAGAATGATCATGAGTTTTAAAACAGGTACATAGAGTTATTCTGTATTTAAAAAGCGTAGCCTTTTCACCAAGAAGATGCTAGGTAGAATACAGAGAGAAAGGGACAAAGATCATGCAATTGCAACACAAAATTAGTTACTGACTATTGGCTTACTGACTCTTGAGGTTCAAAAGGCGCAGGTAACATACAGTAATACTGTATAACTGTTTCATGGGCTTTGGAAGGCTACTTTTAGATTTAAAGAATTATTGATAAAGCATCAAGCAATTTTCAGTGTTACCATACTATGTATTTCAAAATCGGATAAACAAAGCTGTCAAACACATGGCTTTTTTTCAGTTAGTGCTGAAAAAATTAAAAAATTGGATGAGAGAATGAGAAGACTCCTATGAGAAAGCAGGAAGAGGAGGAAAAAGAGAGCCAGGTAAAAAAATAGTAAGAATTAAAATAGGACGATGCAGTAAGTACTCAAATTCAGAAGTATGTAGGTTGGAAGCTGGCCTTGATATCCCAACATCTGACATTTTTTCAAGTGTGTACTGGAGCCTTTCCAAGTTACAAAAAGTGACTGCTCCAGCAGAATCAGCAGCAATTATTCAATGGAATTCTTCAGACTCAAAAATTCATAAGTAACATATAGAGCTATTGTTTAAGCTGGAAAAAAAATCTAGATGCACCATTTATTTTTGGTTTCTGTTTATGGATTGGAACCTCATCTTTTCCTCTAGCTTCTGCTGGAGGAGGTTGGCATAAGGATAAACAAGAACTGCAATTCAAAAGAAAAGCTTCAAAGAGAACATTTCATGTAGCAGTAGATGTCACCAGCCAAGGCAGCACTAGCACTGACCAAATTCCTGTTTTCTGGTCAATCTGCCGACAAACACTTGTTTTGAACACAACTTCCAATTATGAAGATAGCTAATGAAATATCCTAATTGTTTTAAAATATGTTTTGGCATGTTCTCTTTTGAAAGAAGATTCCAATTTCTTCATGCTTCGCTCATTTCTAATGCACCTTGCCAGTGCCATTTCTGCCTGTCTAAACAAACAAATCTGTAAGAATGAGAAACCACCTCCACAAAGCATAGTAAGTTCACTGCCTACAAGGAGGAACTGGCAATGTGTAGTAGATATGCCTCACTGGCACACAACAGTCAGCCTAGCAATTAAGTTCTTCAAACACCAGGAGCTGCTTTGCTGAACATTTCTCTCAATTGTACTGTTCAGTGGATCTGAAACCCCCATAGCTGCTCACTACAGCCTATATTAAGAGACAATCTAAATTTTTTCAGGACTTTAATAACTTCTCTAACAATCTCTTTTCCAACTACTACTAACATCTCCAACAGCCTTTCATTGCAAGTTTTAATTTCTCATGGCTGAGTCCTAAACACAAAGTAAAGGACAATTTTAATCTCTACTGCTGTACCTGGTGAGTTCAGTGAAAGAGCAAGGGAGGTCAGCGAAGGCAAAACTGGACTGTTCAGCAGCAATCAAGTGGAAAGATGGAAAGTGATATGTACATTTCAATGGGATTGATTTTGGTACAGTTTTTCCCTTCTCTGTGGTTAGAAATAAGCATTTAGGCTCAGAATTAAAGTGTGCGTAAGATACATATAAAGGTCACTTCAACACTGTAATACTGAACTGTGCATTCCAGGATTGTCTAACTTGCTTGGTCATTGGTCTCCTTTCCACATCTGCAACTACTATAAACTGAGGCAAAGCCTAATCCTTGGTGTCCTAGAGAAGGCTGAAGGTCCTACTCAATTCTTATTAAAAATACAGTACCTAGCCTGTGGGAGAAGTTTGCTTTCAGGGAGTGCATTCTGTTCTTCAGTATTTATTGGACACCACGAGAAAGAATGCTCTGCAAGGCTCATGCAGGTATAACTTCATAGAGTTTAAGGCCAGAAGGGACCATTAGATCATCTAGTCTGACCTTCCGTAAAACAGGTCATTAAATTTCACCCAGCTATCTCTGTATTGAGCCGAATAACTTGTGCTTGGCTAGAGCATATCTTCCAGAAAGGTATTCAGTCTTGATTTGAGGACATGGAGACATGGAAAATCCACCTCTTCCCTTGGCAGTTTGTTAAAAATTTGGGACTAATTTCTAACGTGAATTTCACTTCAGCTTCCAACCACTGGTTTTTATTATACTTTTCTCCGCTAGACTGAAGAACCCATTAGTACCTGGTATTTTCTCCCCAAAAGAGTATTTTTACAAAAGAGTAATCAAGCCACCACTCAATCTTCATTTTGATAAGCTAAACAGACTGAGCTCTTTAAGTCTCCCACTACCAGGCATTTTTCCAAGCCCTTGAACATTTTTGTGGGTTTTTTTTCTGCACCATCTTAACTTTTTGAACATCTTTTTAAAAATGTTGATACCAGAACTGGATGCAGTATTCCAATATTGGTCTCATCAATGCCATATACATAGATATATGCCACAGCATTGCACTGGGATCCCATATTCAGTTGCTATGACAACCAATTTCTTTCCAGAGTCACTGCTTTCCAGGATACAGTCGACCATTCTCTCTAGGTAAGGACTACATTCCTTGTTCCTAATGAATAACTTTGCATGGGCTGTATAAACACATTTTATTTGAATGGGTCCAGTTTACCAAGTGATCCATGTTGTTCTGTATGACTGTTCTATCCTCATCCTTATCATTCCACCAATCTTTATCTTTATTTATTTTATCAGCAGTGATTTTACACTGACTTCCAGCTCATTGATGAAACATTGGGCCTAGTACTGATTTTACACTTAATGTAAAATAATGGCAAAGCTGATATGGGGATTCAATTAATTAAAAAAAGAAAATTTAAGGATAGAATATAATTAATACCAGTGAACTTGGTTGGAATGGTCCTTTGTTTGGCCACACTGAATATAAACCAGGTCATGATCACTGGTCCCTAGGCAACCATGAATTTACAGTCCAGTGATGGATTCATCTTTATCTGTCATAATGAAGTCCAAACTAGAGTTACCTCATGTTGGTGCAATATGTTTGTGTTAGAAAATGTATACTTTTTAGAAACTCTAGCTGTATGAGACCTCAAGCATACCTCCAAAACTGAAGTCCCACATACCACCACAAATTTTTCTTTCCACACATTAGAGACAAATTCTGAAGGAGAAACTCATCTTGTCCTCCAGTTTGATTCGGTAGTCTGTAGCAGATCCCCACCAGTATCCCCTACTGGGTTTTATTAGTTAGAACACTGATCCCCATGCATTCAAAATCCTATGGTTCTGAGTTATTAATGACTCTAAAACAGGTAACGGTGTCTTTAATGTAGAGTACCAAGCTCTCACAATCTCGTTTTACCCACTCTATCCTTCCTACCCACATTATAACAAGTGACCCCAATCGAGCACTGCTACCGAAAATCTCTGAACTGCAGTGCAAGGACACACCGACACCTGAAGTGGAGCACCCAAAGTGACACACATCTCGAAGAACCCTCATTACTACATAAGGTGAGTAACTTCCTCTTTTAATGTTCTAATCACGCAAGTTATCCCAGCAGGTTTCAGTAATGTCAATTACATCAAATTTCTTAATGATAATTTTTTAATTCCCGTACTTGTTACTCAGACTCTTAGTGCTGGTATATAAGCAACTGAAAAATGTCTTCTCTTCACATTCTTTGCCACATCGGTTCAATTTATTCGCAAAACGCTGAGTTTGAATCACACCAACTGTTCTTCAGATGGTGAATAAGCGATGTGAGATGATAATCTTAGGAAAAAAGATCTTGTGGTCAAATCTCCCACTCACTTAAATGGTCCCAAAAATTCACCCCAGGCTTTTTATGCAAATCTATTTAAGAGAAGAAAAAGAATGAACCCTTCCAAATTTCTGACACAGTCTGAATTATTTCTAATACTTCCCCCCCCTCCCAAAAAAGTTTTCCAACAGATATCAGCTACTTTTTTTTAAAAAAGGGAAAAAAGTCTGAAAGACCTCACACAAACAGAAGGGAACAGGAAAAATGTATCTGTGCTTGCCTGAAAATTTCCTTTGGAGTAATAAGGTCCTCAGATCCATTACAATTGGCACTTAAACATATTTGCAGCTGGGGGCAGAATAAGACCTGTCAGGTACTGGCAGCAGGGGAATGCCCCGCTCTCTGAAATTCCCTCCAGCTGAGAACTTCCACAGCCAAGATCACTCATATTTATGTTCCTAAATTACAGATTTTGTTAACTATACTTTGAAGGGGTGGGGAAGAAAACAGCTTCCTCTACTGCAAAGCATGGTAACTGCTACTCCTTGGATGTCAATTTCCATCTCTATTCTGGATGACTGTTTATCTCCAAAGTGAGCTGGATCTGTGGATCTTATTACTTATAGTAAGGAAAATTTTCAGGTAAGCACAGATTTTTCCCATTCTTCTTTGCGCTAAAGTCCTCAGAACCATTACAAGAGGATTTTCTTAGCAGTGTGCCCTGAACGTGGGAAGCAGGATTATCCTTTAAATATGGACATCCAAAAGGGGAGGCAAGGGGGCTTCCTGGACCTGAGAGGGGCCCAGCCCCTAGGAGCACATGCAGTGACGGTGACCGGTGGGGGGGCGGGGGGAAGAGAGCTGTGGGGGGGAACTGTGGAGTTCTCGTCTCTGGCCCCAGCCCCGGGGGCAGCCTGCCTGCACCCCAAGCTCCTCATCCCTAGCCCCGCCCCACCCCAGAGCCCACACCCCCAGCCAGAGCCCTCACTCCTCTGCACCCCAACCCTCTGCCCTAGTCCTGAGCCTCTCCCACATCCCAACCCCCTTCCTGGACCTGAGCCCCTCCCACACCCCAAACCCCTTATCCCCCGCTCTCACCCCCCCCCGCACCCCAACCCTCTGCCCCAGCCCCCTCCCACACTCCAAACCCCTCAGCCCCACCCCAGTAATTTTGTTATGTGCACCAATATGCGGAGGGGACTGGGGGGGGAGATGGAGGACGACATGACTTGGACCATTCTGGGCACCACTAAAAATTATACAAACTTGCTGCCCCTGCCTAGAAACTCTACCCTTTTTTATTGCATGGGAACCACATGGACCAGATAGGTCTGCATTTTCCCTGAAGTTCTCAGCCTGGGATATGAGAAAGGATCACCAGGAGTGGGGGACCATTAGAGATGGCAGCAAAGACCCTTTACCGCACTTTGGGAGGAGGCAGCAGTGGCTGAGCTCTGCAGTCAGAGATGTGGTTGCTGGTGTGAGCTATAAGGGCTCAGTAGTGATCTTCCATCTAGCACACTGCCCTATGGCTTCACTCCTGTCATGGAGATGGGGGAGATCCTGAGCCATTTCTTTTCCATTATGCCTGACTTCTATCCTGCTCAGGAAGGGGGCCAAGGCAACCCCACCCAAACCGGGCTGTGAAGGAAACTGCACTCTGCTCACAGAGCCAGCCAAGCACCCCAGTGAGACACTCGAGAGTGAGCCAGGAGGGAGAAGTGCAGAACACAGACCTTTGCTCTTGCCTTTGGCTGTTCTCAGACTAACTCTCCCCCTGAATCCTGCAGAGGCACTAACTGCTGCAAATACCTCAAAAATCAAATGCAACCCTGCGACCCAATCACACTATCAAGCCAAGTTATTCATCTAAAATTTAAAATAAAGTTTGGAACTTCCCTCAGAAAGCTCTACAGCGGGGAGTTCTGGTGGAGCCACCTGCTGCAGGGGAGGCAGAAAAAACTGGAAGGAAAGAACTTCAGGCAGCGAGGCTGGCAGTGAATGACAGATGTGGTTTTACCCCCAAGCTGCAAGTAGGCCAAAGCGCGTATTGTAATGGATCTGTGGACCTCAGCATGAAGAAGAAACTGCGCCTCTCTAAAAGAAACCTTAACATCAATTACACACAAAGCCAAGTTCACAAAACATACAAAACTTAAAAAATACTCACTAAGCTTTCAGTTATTTGCACATTCTGTTTTTACCATCTACTCTCTTCCCTTTGAGGGAAAAAATAATGACCACACCGCAGCCAAGAATAGTTAGTAAACACATGCCTACAGTACGTTTCATGGTTTCACTTGTTTTAATTATTTTTATAGCCAAATTAAGCAGCAAGATTCAACTGTGATAAAACCCAAACAAGAGAACCAAACAATTTAAATTCTGGCTGACAAATATGCCATTGTGCTTTCACCACTTCACTGTCCATTTCCCCAACCAGTACAGTGTAAGCTGGACGATGTTATACTTATTTTGAACTTCCTGTTTTTGTTTCACTTTTTAATATTATGCCTATTCTGTATCTTATGCTGGGGGTGGGCCTACTTACAATCCTGGAAGGATTATTATTTTTTTCTTGGTTGCAAGATGTAAAGAACCTGTTTTGGAAGGATGAGGGGGGCCACTTTTCAGGGAAATCTGAAGGATAATGCTGAGAATTCTAGGCTTTTCATTTATAAAGGCGTCTGTCCTGAGAATGGAACTTATGAACTCAGCGGACGAACGCACCCTACTCCCGCACCTCTGCGGGACGGAAGATAAAGTGTTATTTTGAAAGTGGAACCAGACATGTAAAGTATCAAATATCTGAGCCAAAGCAACAAAGGAGATTAAGGGCGCCTCCTTTGGGGGTTATAGGCCTTGTGCTGGAGTTGAATGAACGTTCAGTTCTTTCATTCACATGTGATTCACCCATTCTCTCTTTGCAGGCCAGCCATTTCCTCCTTTGTTCCTAAAAGGAGTCCATTTCACCTTATTTTTGTTTTAAGCATTTATTAAACCTCTTGAGTAAAAAATCTGAAACTTCTATGATGAGGAACAAAAAGTTTTCTTTTGTCCAGGAAAAGCTCATGCCTTAAAAGTGCAGCTAAAACACCCTGCTTAAACTAAGTCATTGGGCCCATTTACCAGCTTTTCCTTTTTTTAAAAAAAATGCAAGTTTTCCCTCCTTCAGGTTCATCTCAGTTTGGAGATCTTTTTTAAAGGTTCCCCAAGATACTCAGAGTTTCCATTTTAGGATAATTGTTCATATTTATTTTCCTTTTGTACAAAGCCGAGTTTACAAATGCTGCAATATTTACCTACTATCCTAGGAGCTCTGGATAGGAACTGGCTGGTACTGAGGTCACTGTGCAACAACCTGAGTAACCTGCAAGCTCAAACTTTGTAAATACAAAGCATAAATGCAGCAGAGAGAAAGGTTTTTTGCACTAGGAACAATTTGTTGGATTGTCCTCTTTGTATTTTTAAGGGAATTTTGTTGAGAACATTGGTGTTTATGGCAATTCGTTAATTTACTTGTGCAACAAGTTGTGGAACTACATCTTTTCAATTGTAAGCTCTGCAGGGCAGGGACTGTCTCCTTATTTTGTTTGTACAGCACTCAGCACACAGGCAGTCCAATCCTGCCTGGGGACTTTGGGTACTACCATAATAAGTGTACAATACTAAAGAAGCTATTAAATAGCAGTTAGCTACAGCTTCAGCTCAGCAGCAATCGAACCAAAAAACCAAGCAGACCAGCTAGTTTCTAATTTTTTTTTTTCATTTTTGAATGACATGCAGATAAACAGGTCAGATCTGTCAGCCCACATTTATTCAATTCCTTATTGAATTTTACTTTTTTGGAAATCCTAGACTCATTTGAGATTCAGATGGTTTCCTTCTAAAGGATTGTTTCAACTAAAATTTTCATTAATTTGCTAAAAGCTCAGGGTTCTTATCTAACCAATCCTGATGCCTGACATCTTAAATTACAAAGATTTTTTTTTTTTTTAAACAGAGAGAATTTAGACAAAACAGGATGTTTTTACACTCGGGACCTGTTATTCAAAACAAAAAACAAAAAAGAAGTGTTCACATTTAAGGCAGCCTTAGTGATTACAGGAAGAAGAAAAAAAAAAAAATCAAGCGTTCAACCAAAACCAGTGAGATTCTAATGACTAGCATGGACAATTTTTAGGCTTCAGGAAGTTTCAGAGCTCAAAATCCACTGTATCATTTACAGTGCCGATCTCTCGCCATAATATAGCAGCAAGAGGGCAAAGATGCCATTTTTCCTCATCTCTGCTTGCTTTAAACATAAAACTGCTATTAAAGGAGGAAAAATATTACAATCTGACTCTCACAGGCATACAAAGTAAGGATAAAGTGGCAGATTTCCTGTTATGCAAATCTTATCTTGTATTTGATTTAGAAAAGAGTCACTATTATGATAGGCAATGCTATTTAAAGCAAGATTAATCTAGCCTTTAAAAGATACCTTGAAGCCTGGCACCTTTGGTCATCTCCAGCAGAGGTTTATATAATATATTTTAAGATTCCAAATCACTGATCTATGACAAAGACTAAATCTATTTATTATCTGAAACAATATATTTGAAAAAACGAAACAGTTCCTAGCTTACTTATCGGACTACAGTTTTTTGTGAAGATTTCCACAGAATCTAATGCAAGGGCTCCCCCAAATCTTAAAATTCCCCCAAAAGATTTCCAGTAGTCCTAGTTACAAGTTCAGCGTTGAGAATAAAATAGTAATACTTGGCATGTACGACTGCAGAATCAGATTTTATTGACTTCAATGGGCACAAATAAATAAGGGTTTGCAGGATTAGGCCTTACTGCTCTTTCTAAAGTACATCTAATTACTCTGAAAGAGTAGAAACATTTTCATTAACAGATGTCTACCATCTCACTTTATATTTAGAGATTTATTTCAGCATACCTTTTTCATTTCATTTTCTAGATTTTCCTCTTCTTGACCTTCAGATAGCCGCCTTCTCAACTCTGCGATTTCCCTTTCAACATTTTCCCGGTATTGGCCCCACTGAGCTCGCTCTTGCTCCAGCCTGTGATGAAACTGGAGCTCATAGTCACGAACAGTTTCTGTAAAGCAATGTCACAGAAACTTTCATTATCAGGGTAAGTTATAAAGTGTGAGACTACAAATTATGCAGTTCCAAAGAAAGTCTCAGAATGTTTGTGCAAAGCTTGCTGTTTGCGTTGTACAATCCTTTCAATTCTATGTGACACTCAAGACTGTATCTTTTTCATGTTTTGCCTTCTCCCTGTTCCCCAGAGCACTGTATAATAGATACAACCCTTCTGGCTGAGGACTGTCTGAAACTCCACTTATAGGAATAGTAAAATATTCTTAATTGGCCAAAAGCATCTCTATGGAGTGATTCAAATGATTCCCTTCCCCTCCAGAGGCTGAGTACACTGTCTTTGCAGTACTGCAACCTCACGAAGAGCAGGGACATCTAGAAATAAGCTACATCTTGTACATGTATCTTGAGATATGTCACATGTTATAGATTTGACCTTGTCCTCAGAGTGTGTTAGATTCCTTTCCCAGAAACGGTTCCAGGGACACAAAAATATGATTCAACAAAACTTCTGAACCTTGGAAGATCATGCAGCATTCTGCTAGTGAAAAAAATCAGTAAAACTACAGAATTTTTACCACTATTTAAACAGGTCTACAGGCAACTTTCTATCATCCTAAAATTTAATATAGAATTCAAGATTTTGTTTTTGGCTTTTTGTTTTTGTTTTTAAAGTAAAACAAGTAAACTGTCCATATTTTTAAAGGATCTCTATTCTGAGAAAAAAAAAAAGTCAGACAATGATCTTCTAAACGAAATTATCACATAGATATATCTTGTAAAAATTTTCTTTATTTAAAAATAACTATTTAAGGGCCTCTAAATTGGGCAGAGGCAATCCAAGACAGCAACGGTAGTATTTTGTGTGCCCTATGATATGCTATATGCTTCTGTCATACCTTTTAGTTGATCACATTGAACAAAGAACTAACCACAAGTGCAATGAACTGCACCTTGCCAAGAAAGCTACCAGTAACTCAACAGATCCAAGGGAACTAAAATTTAGTCTAGATTAACATCATTAATTTAAATAGCCTCCTATATTCATGCCAAGAGTCACGTTGCTCAAATATGCTATTTCTATTTTGATTTACAAAATCTACCCACAGCAATCTAAACACTATGCAAATAACCAAAATCCCCTTAAAAAAAAAAAGGAACAACAAAAATCACTTCCACATCCCCAAAACACAGAAAGGACTAAACCTTCTCAGGTAACTCTGCTTGTCTATTTAGACCGTAAATTATTCAAGGCAGGTAATACCTGTATGTATGACACCTAACACAATGGAGCCTTGATCTTGGCTGGGGACTCTGGGGTCTTCTATAATAGTCTAGTTCAGTGGTTCTCAACCTTTCCAGACTATTGTACCCCTTTCAAGAGTCTGATTTGTCTTGAGTACCCCAAGTTTCACCTCACTTGAAAACTACTTGCTTACAAAATCAGACATAAACATACAGTTTGACACTTGAGCCTGTGTTTCATTTGTGAGCCTTGTCTAAACCCCGAGCCCCAGTGCCCGGGGTTGAAGCACGTAACTTAGCTTCGCAGAGCCCCTTGTGGTGAGCAGCCCCAGGCAACTGCCCTGCTTGCTACCCCCTAACACCGGTCCTGTATTTGCAACCTGCCTAAACCCGATGCAACCCCCAGGTTGAGAAATACTGATCTAGATGAGTTAAGTACCCCTGGAACACCTCTGTGTACCTTCAGGGGTACCTGTACTCCTGGTTGAGAATCACTGATCTAGTTCTGTTATTTGTGTATTAACAAGCCAAATTATGTTTACTTGCCAACTGTGACAGAGTGTATCAGATCCTCTCTACTCCCTACAGCAGGCATCGGAGCCCTGACACTTTCTGCTCAAGGAAAATCCATTCAGACCACACTACCAACAAGACAGGCCTGATGATCAGTCAAGAGCCAGCAGTCCAGTTAAGAAGGCTTGCCTACTTGTCATCAGTGGCAGAACCGGGGAAGACTGGAAGAGAGGAAGACCTTCTCAGTATTAACCCAGTAGGTCAGGGCCTTGCCTTCAAGTGCTACAACAAAGTGCCTGTATGTGAGGTTTTCTTTCTTTAATTAAAAGGCACAGACAGTCAAATCCTGAGTTTGTTATTTCACTGTTGAAAGACTGATGTCAAGCTTACTGCATGGGTTTCCTGGTCTCGGCAGGCAGCCAAAACGTTCAGACTACAGCAGTGAATGCCTAATGCACCAGACTGATCCCACAAGGAGGCGTTGCAGAGCAGCCCCACCTGCCACACCGAAATACACGAAAAGCTGTATTCTCTAGAGTAAATATGTAACAAGGCAGATTTCTGCAATACCTACACCCAACAGGTAGCAAAAATAGTTATCGCAATAGCGGTGATGTCCTAAATTACTGTCTGCATGTTCCTCCTTACAGGTAGTTTGTATCAAGAGTAAATCAGTGAGCGTGCAGCATGCTAGAATGTGATCTATATGAACTATTCTATATTCTTGCAGGAGAAAAAAGAAAGTATGATGACATATTTAGCCACAAGACATGGGAAGAGCCAATGTGATGGCAATGGAGGGACATTTAAATGTTTGGCAAAGACAATTTTGCATGCCAAAGCAGAGAAACAAGTCATCCTGAAGCTGCTGTCAGACTAACCAGGTCACATATACCATTACTTGTCTTTGTGAAGGAGGAATGGCTATATTCTCAATCCCTGAAGAATGGTCCATACAAGCTAAAAATTTCCCAGTACATATTGCAAGAATTGGAATTGGTCAGCTAAAGACTGAAATCACCAGTCTGCTTAATGTAACTTCCACGGCACAAACTGCTTATTCTGTACAGCAGTGGTTCTCAGCCTGTCCAGACTACTGTTCTCCGTCTCAGGAGTCTGATTTGTCTTGCGTGCCCCAAGTTTCATCTCACTTAAAAACTACCCGCTTTCAAAAATCAGACATAAAAATACAAAAATATCACAGCACACTATTACTGAAAAATGCTTACTTTCTCATTTTTACCATATAACTATAAAATAAATCAATTGGAATATATTGTACTTACATTTCAGTGTGATACTTGAGCCTTTGTTTCGCTTGTGAGCCTTGTCTGAAGCCCAAGCCCTATTGCTCGGAGTTGAAGCATGTAACTTCGCTTCGAAGGGCCTCCTGTGGCATGTGGCCCCAGGCAATTGCCCTGCTTGTGACCCTCTAAACCCATCCCGCAACCTCCAGGTTGAGAAACACTGATTTAGATGAGTTGAGTAAACCCTGGAAGATGTCTGCCTACCCCTAGGGGTATGTGTACCCCTGGCTGAGAACCACTGCTGTACTGCATCAAGAACAATAACATCACCTATTAAATAAATTGCTTGTTTACCCTGCTGTAACTGCAGTAGTTAGCTAGCTTCCTCTGGCCTTACCTTTCATAATTGCTTGTAGTGAAGCGACTTCTTCTTGCCACTGCCTCTTCACCTCATCAATAGCTTCCTGCTTCGTATTCTCAGATACTGTAGCTATGGCTTTGATGTTCTCCATTTCAGCCTGGGCTTCCAATAGTTGTGTCCGCAGATGTCCTAGATCATCTTGTGCTGCTTGCAGTACTACATTTTGCCTTTTCAGGTCCTCTGAAATCAAATATTCATAGAATCATAGAATATCAAGGTTGAAAGGGACCTCAGGAGGTCATGTAGTCCAACCCCTGCTCAAAGCAGGACCCATCCCCAACTAAATCATCCCAGCCAGAGCTTCGTCAAGCCTGACCTTTAAAAACCTCTAAGGAAAGAGATTCCACCACCTTCCTAGGTAACCCATTCCAGTGCTTCACCACCCTCCTAGTGAAAAAGGTTTTCCTAATATCCAACCTAAACCTCCCCCACTGCAACTTGAGATCATTACTCCTTGTTCTGTCATCTGGTACCACTGAGAACAGACTAGACCCATCCTCTTTGAAACCCCCTTTCAGGTAGTTGAAAGTAGCTATCAAATCCCCCCTCATTCTTCTCTTCTGCAGATTAAACAATCCCAGTTCCCTCAGCCTCTCCTCATAAGTCATGTGCTCCAGCACCCTAATCATTTTTTTTGCCCTCCGCTTCCATTTAATTTAGTTAACAAATTCAGTTTGAAGTGCAGCTCTATCTGCTACAACAGAAATTGGTGCTTTAGTAAAGGAAAACAAGAGTGAGTCTGAAGTTTAAAACTTTATCCGTGATAGCTAAAGAAAATCTTTAAGTAACATTCCAGGTTTCGCTGCTCATCAAGTTCCTTTTTTATTTGTTTCTCATTCATCCAGTGTAGAGACTGAAGACACTACTACAAAGCAGACACTGTAAATACCACTTATCAATCAATATGCCAATTAAGCTAATTGGACTTTTAACTACTTCACTGTCATGTAACTCACATACTGGGAATACTTGCTGGGAAGTATACATACTGGGAATGAGCATGATCTGGAAGTCAGAGGATAGGACTGAAGTCAGGAAGATTGCTTGGTTTTGATTTGTAACCTTGGATATGTCACTTACATAAACTGAAATATAGAAGTTATCTGTAAAAGAGGGACAGTACCTTGTTGCCTCATCGGAGCCTTAGGAGATGCTTACACTTTGTATAGCACTTTGTGATCCTCTTATTACAGGCACTACAGAATTGCAAAGTATTATTACCCGGACCCCAATTATGCTATAACCATGCAATCTGCAGAAAAATTGACCCTTTATCACAACTGTGCTAAGAATCTAAGCTTTCATTAAAAACACATTCCTCGCCCTTATAGTTACAAATATAACTTTCAAATATAACAGAGCATAAACAAATTATGTATTGTCTTCCAGAGTCTGCAGACAACCTGAAACAATAGCTCTGCAAAATGTAAGCTATGCCATTCATCTCATTGGAGGATTAAGTCTGAATCCTAAAGATAAGAATTTGTATGTCAAGCATTAACTGTTTCACCTATGATAATTTTAGCAGAAGCATGCAGCTAGTGTACTGATCCCACAATACCAAACTGCTTCCCGTGCTTCTCTAGTGCAAAAAGGCTCACCCTACCCAACTGCTAGAACTGACATTTCCCCTTCCCACTCCTGATGCAGCTGAGGTGTTGCCAGTACAAAAAAATCTGGCATATTGAAAACTGCAGATGTAAAAAAGTATAAAATGAGCTGAACAGCAAAACAGACACACAGGACTACCTGCTGATATTATTTGTTTTCATACTTAATTCATAAAAACCTCCATTTTTATTTAAAGGAAGCTGTTGCAGAAGCCTGCTATACCAAACTGCCACAGAATCCAAGGACTTTGCCACAAAATGAATCCTGTGTTCTGCAAAGTACGAGGCACCTTGACTATTACTATTATGAGGACTTCCTTTCCCCCAATAACGTTTGTGTCGTTATTTCCAGCTTTTATACCAATATTTAGTTTATCAGCCTTATGTTTATAGTTCTACTGCTTTCAATCAATCGTTCTCTTTTTCCTTTCACACCTCATAATACTTTAGTCTCAACCCCTGCTCTATTTAAACAAAAACTCTTTAAATTACTAAATTCCTGACCTTGCATGCTGTATTGAAATGTCTTATGGAACTCGGTAGACCAGACTAAGATGTTTCACATAAAAATATTTTTAGTGTGCTTTTCTTTTTAAGTGCACATTTTGTATTCCTAAATGTAATGCATACAACATTGTAGTCTGCTGCAGAAATATTTTCCTCAAGAGACACCGCAATGATGATAAGATAATAAAACAAGTTAAATATCAGTTCACACTTTGGGCTGGCGTTCACTGAACGTGACAATACAGCCTTAAGGAGTCATGTTAACTAATGTGATGTTAAACGCGACTTTGCAGTCAGTGTAGAGAAGGACACCAAGTCACATTCATAGAGTTTAAGGCCAGATGGGACAATGAGATCATTTAGTCTGACCTCCTGTAGATCACAGGCCATCATCACCACCACCCGGCACCTATACGCAAAACACAACAACTGAAATTAGACCAAAGTATTAGAGCCCACATAAGATTCCTATGGTTCCAGAAGAGTTTTACCCACAACCAGCTGACATGTTAAATTTTTTTAGTAACACTGACTTATGTTTTTTAACATCATGTTAGTTAAAATGACTTCTCAAGGTTATGTTGTAACACACTAATTTTCTAGTGAAGAAAAGTCCATTAGTGGTAATTTCTGCCACTATGCTTTAATATTTGTTTGCCCCCACTACCATCCACACCACCACCACCATCCACACCACCACCATGGCCTAATTACCAAAATGGACATTGTAAAGAAGCCAGTCACCTGGCAGGAAGTACACTCGTTAGGTTACAATACAGGACTGGGAGCTAGTCAATCTGTATTCTATTTCTGACTCTACTACATACTGCCTGTGTGACCTCAAATAATAATTTAATCTCTCTTTGCCTCAATTTCACCTATCCATAAAATGGTGGTGAGAGTACTTGTCTGCTTCAAAGGGATGTTACTATCAGTCATCAGTTAAGCCTTGAAAAAAGCTTTAAGATTTTTATTCTTTATTATTTGTATTACAATAGTGCCCAAAGGGCCAAATCAAGGTCACGGCTCTTTATACAAGGCAATGCACGAACACAACAGAAGGGATATTTTACCCAAGATTCTTCAAGGCAGGGAAAGTGCCTTGAAAGGGCAAAGTACTTATGTTAGGGTTTTCAATAGCACCCCTTTCACGTTGGTGTCTATGCACCTAAGTGAAGGAAATGTCAAGAGGAAAAGTGATTTCTAACTATTTTAGTTTGGGGAGGGAGGTTGCTGTTGCTGACCACAGTCCAGCAGCGTCTTGTCTTTACATTTTCATTTCCCTGGTCCCAATAGCTAGAAAAACACTCTATGCTCTGGTCTTCAATATGTCAGCTGTACATGCGCATGAGAGCAGAAAAATAAGCAAGTTGTAGTTTTAATGAAATTTTTCTTGGCTTTACTTTCTTTTATATTTTTAGGACAAGAAAGCAGTTAGGATTAAAAGGAGTCAGTAAATCAACCCTGCACTTAAATAGAAGATAGCTGCTTTTGTCCATTCTTCTACAGCAGGTACATGAGCTAGTGAGGTTCACATTTTCCTCAAAGAGTGTTACTAAAAATAAATACTTTTAGCTGTCAAATTTAAGCTATGCAAGTTTGGCTGCTTACATTACAATTAATCAGACTGATCAATCATTCAAGATATAAAACACAATTACATACTATGTAACAAGCTGACCACAACTGACAGAGCACACGGAAAATGTCTCTCTAAGTGTTCCTGTTAGTTACTGGTCAAAGAGGATGAAAACACTTTTACGTCATTAGGTTTGTATTAACTCAGTGGTTTCCAAACTGTGGTCTGTGAAGCATTTAATGGTGGTCAGTGGAAAGCTGGCAGGTCACATGGTGCTTGGCACCACCTCCTTGCTTCCAGCTACTGCTTCTACTGTAGTCAAGAGCCTAAAGGACTATAAAAATAGCTGGAAACAAGAAGGAACCAGCCTGTCCCCACTAGTGGTCATTGCTGTAAAAACAGAACAATGGCAACGACCAGAGCCATCAGCAGAAGTTTAAAATTAATCAAACACTTTCCTAAGATTCCTTTTCCATATAAGCAATTACTGTAATTGCCCCAAGGATATTACACAATTGTGAATTGGAGGGGACGGTGTCCAGCAGATGCTATCACAATGTGGTCTATGCTATGAGAGTTTGAGAACCCCCACGTTACTTTATTTTAAAAAGCAGGATACTGTGGAATTTTATGTGCCTTTCAAGATGATTTGCTGACTCCTATCAGTATGGGTATATACTTTAAAGTCAAATTACATTTTTCTTTCTTTTTCACCTTACGTTAACTCTCAATTTCAAGATTTCTACATAAAAGGAGAACAGTTGTATGATAATTACAGAAAACAAAATCTTCATAAATTAGATTACAAAGAAAGGTGGCTGATACATTCTGAAACTCTAATTATGTAACCAGATAACTGTTAGGGTTTTTCTCTTTGCCTCTTTATATTGGCCTTTAAAAAAGTTTGGCAGGAAAACTCACATTTTCTGTTGGCTAATAAGAGACTTTAACAGTGTCTTACCACCTGTCAACCAGGATATCCCACCAACCGACTGCCAATGCAAGAAAACCTTTGCTTTAAACCCTACTTCTTTAAAAAAAAAAAAAAAAAAAGGGGTTAGCACTACTAAGATTGTTCTCTAACCAGGGATTATTCAAGGCTTAGCATAAAAATAGGCTTTAAAATAATTCAGAGAACCTAGAACTTACCTTCCTTAGCCAAGTATAACTCTTTAAATTTTGCCCTCTTTTGATTAAATTCTTGCTCAAGCTGCTGGTTTGTACGCAGAAATTCTGCATTGACTTTTTCCAATTCTGCTAGCCGTTGCAGAAGAGCAGCTAGAACAAAAACAAAAAAAGTAAGGTGTGTCACTAACAGTTAAGGAATCCCACACAATCACATGTTGCAACTTTAAGACTTAGGATTTATGATTTTAAAATATATTTTTCACTCATTAGCTCAAGTGTTATTCAATGACAAGCCACTATGCCTGGTCAGAGGTTTTTTGTTTTGTTTTGTTTTTTAAAAACCAGCAAAAGTCAGCAGTTCTAGTCATTACAACAGTGAGTTCTGGCATACATCAACTGCAGCTAAGAATAACTCTTAGGGTTGACTCTTGAGTCATACTGAATCCTTCTTGAAAGGAGAATTCACCACATACAACGAAGGGACAAGTTACAAGAACTATGTTTAGTAACTGTATTACCACCAGGGATTTTATTTTGACATTATTAGGGAATCTGTTTGCATTCTTACTTTCTCCCTGTACACACACATCCTCACTCCTGTGTATGAAGTCACAAAGCACTTATTACATATCAGGGGTTAAAATTAAAACAGGTTACTGGCTACGGGTACCAAATGAAAAGGTGAAACCCATCCCTCAACCATGTCATACTCTTCCCTGTCTCCACTGCTTCCTCCCTGCTAGAGCAGAGTTTGTCAAATTCTAGTCCATGGACTATTGGTGATCCTCAGAGCATTTATTAAATGGTATGCAGAGAAACGACCACTCATGTGGCATTTTCTCCTTATTTAAAGCTGCTCAACTGCCTTAAGACAGCTAAAAATACATTAAGTACTTTCTAAAAAAATTTTTTCCATGCAAGCAATTACTGTAGTTGCCTTAAGGATGTCATTATTGGAAATAGTAGGGGAGGTGGTCCACAAATACCAACACACTCTATAAAAATACAATCCACAAAGAAAAAGAAAGAAAGAACCTCTGTGATAGAGAATTCAGAATCTCAACAAAAAGTACCATATGTTGCTATAAAGCAAGAATTTTTGCTATAATTGCCTCCCAGGTACTGGTCATGAGGCAAGATATAAACTTCGTTAGTTTCCCAGGAAGTACAGTGACACCTTAAGAAACAGAAGGTTTCAGATAACACACTTTAGTACAGTCTTTAAAAATTCAAATAGAAAACAGCAAAAAAATGTATAAAACCCACAGACTTCTCACGCTATAATTTCACCAAGCAAATGAAGTTCTGTTAAGTATTTCTCTTTCAATTCTACAACAGCATTTTACGAAGAAGTTTCGCCTCCACCATGTAGACAATCTGAGTCACTGCTTTGAAATAATAGCCTCTTCATAGCACAAGCTAGTTAAATCGATACCCTACCTAATATATTAAAATTGCTTACATGTCACACAGACACTAACATACTCTCCACCAAAAAGAAAAGTGTTAAAAATAGCACATTATACAATAAGATGCACTACTTTCTGCAACATCAAGAACCTTTAAGCAGCACAAGAGGTGTAATGAGGACTATGTAGTGGTAAAAAGCCAGAGAGGAAAAGAATGATCAATTTGCCATTGAAATTTTGTGAATTCAAGGATAATGCTCATTTCTGTTAATTTTTGGCCACCTAGGAAGAGATTAATTTTTGGTTACTTAGACCTAAGAAAGATATGAATAGAGGGATTCTTTAGAAGTAAGACTACATGTTGTAGACTTCTGGTTATAAAATAAAACTAGAATGTTTAACTGAAAAAATATGTTCTTTGACTACGCCTCTAATCTAATATAGGTAGCAGAGGGAAATTAAGTTAGACAAGCATTATACAATTTTTGTATCTAATTCCAATAACTACTAAATCGCTGAGGCAGCAGAACCCACACTGCTGTGAACACAGATTAGCATGGGGAAATCTATTATACACAAGTAAGCCACTCCTAGGCTAAGAAAGAGCCTATGAAATTTCAACCCAAAAGGTAGTTGTATGGAAAAATACTGAAAACTGAGATGGCATTTATTTTCTAAGCCTCTATCACAACTATAGCATTTTTATTATGATGCTATCACACAGAGGAGTAAGTTTTAAGAAGGGTGGTTTTCCTTCTGTGGATGCTATTTGCATCTATAATTAAACTCTGAGCCCAGATTTGAGTAGCTATACATCTGAGTGACTACAGGTACAATTATTCTGACTGGCCCAGATCTGAAATCCAATTAAATTAATGGCAAGAATCGAACAGATATCAATGGGCTTTGGATAAGGCTCCTTGGCACACACCTTGAATCTGTAATTCAACAGTTACAGGTGCAAATTGCATCTGGTCCTTAGCTCAATTGAACATTCGCTTTAAAATCTATCAGGACAAAATACCAATCTATATGCAACTCATACTTCTATTTCTCACACAATTTTTCAAATGGAAAAGATGTCGTAGGTCATTCCTGCTGAGCTCTCGTTTCCACACACGGGAATGCAATCTTCAGTGTTTAATGACGCTGATGAAATAAATAGTAAACAAAGCCTGATGGATTGGTAGCACTTGCAGAACTCCGCCTGACTGAAACAGGATCTCCTGTTACAAACAGGAGATCAGAACAAGGCACAGAACATACAAAATGTTATAATAGCATTGGTATGAAATTCCTCTGAGGCAGCAGAACCCCCACTGCTGTGAGCACAGATTAGAATGGGGAAGTCTAATTTATCAAAAAGAATAAGTTACCCCACTCTATTTTAAGGGCTATTTTTAAATTAACTTGACATGTCAAACTGAAAGAGGAAATAAAAAAGGATTGGCTCTTTTGTCAACCATTTCTTATCTATAAACAAAGTATATTCCAGAATATCCATTGCAAACAGACATGTTATTGAAGAGATGGCTAGAGAGTCCTTATTCAACACACAAATAGAAATAAAGCTGATGATTTTATAACTATGTGATTTTGGACTGCATATCTCATGTCACGAGCAGGAGGTAGTAGACTCTCCCTACACTGGGGAGACTATACCTAAGAATACTGTATTCTGTTCTGGACAAATCAATATTAGAAAAGGCTCAACAAATTAGAGGGAATATAGAGACTGGGCAGCAAAAACAAAATACCTATTTTTTAGGGGATTCATTTATGAGAGAAAGCTAAAAATTAAATGAAGGGATCCTTCGTGAATGGAGGAACCACTTGTTGGAAGATAAGAATCTCTTAATACAACATGAATAAAATTTGTAATATAACAAAGCATAAGGACAATAAAAATTCTCTCATTGACTTGTCACTCTAAAGCTGTTTGATAGAACACTTCCCAAATGGGCTAAAATATTATCTATACTAAAATTACCAGTTATGCAAATATATAGCAATCACTCCAGAACTAAGACAGAAAGCCGATTATCAGTAAGATTATTTTTGAGCACACTGTGTCTATTTACAATTTAACACCACAAAACTTTCCACTCAATATTTTAAGTGTAGAGGAAGGCATCAAGATTTCAGACCTACAAAACCACAGCTGAACCACGAAAACTGGATCATAAATATATTTTTAAAGATCTGAGAAATATTTTATTTATAGACAGTGTCATTTTCCGAGGGTCTTCATGTTGATGTCCCTATAACAAAAAGGGGAAGAAAATGAAAATGTCCAGCCCCCCTGTGCTTATTCCCCAAACCAAGACACACATCTGCGGTGACCTCACATTTGCCTGAGAGTGACATAAGTGTGAGATATTTTGGCTCAGAAAGCAAGAAATTAGCAGCAAGAAGAGAAACTCGCTCTCTCAAAAAAAATAAAGAGCAATCTTTTTCCATAAGGCAGTAGTGGTACGGCCCGTGGGCCACAGGTTGCCCACCACTGCCATAAGGTGTCAGCAGAGGTCTTTAAAAGTTTGGAAAAGTCAGTTCTTGCATGCAGATATTTTGAAAAAGAGGCTCCTGGAATTTCATTTAAGTGTATACATTTTTAAAACTTACACCCCACTGCATCCTCCAAAAAAGTAAAAAAAATCCCATGTGTGTATATCTCTAGAATGAGAAACAAAATCCACTAGTGTCCTTGCTGACAAGCGAGTAAGACACAAGCAATTCCTACTCTGAAGTTAAAATGGCTCAAATCACAGGAAACAAAACTTAATCTTTGAGAGCAAGGTTAATAGCCCAAAAAGCTGGAAGGAAAAGAGAACCTTGATTAAAGTTACTGGGTTCTCTCGGATACACATGTAGTCACAAACATTAGGCATTTTAATTACTGGACCTGGACAAATAACTAGAGTATGTTCATTAGTCTAGCTACTTTTTTCTAGTTTTATTTGAGGACAGATATTTGTATATCAGATTTTTCAGTTGATATCTCTGTTTTTAGAATGACTTTTTTTAAATAGTTGAGCTCTTCATTATAATAACTGAATTTTATTTCCTGGGCAGATTATTGCATACAACAAAGTGAATTAAGAGCCAGGAAAATGTAACCTGCAGCTGTGCAACAGAATACATGGGGTTGGTAGTGTTACAGAAAGTAGTTCTGCAGTAGTAACATTCTGAGTATGTAATTAGAGTATATTTAAATAGTGAGATTTTGAGAAACGTACCACTTTTCTTAGCAATCTTCTGCAAGTACCACTTACTTTATCACACAGGTGCAGGTTACTCACAGGAAGTTATCCAGCTGTCCTTCACCTGGAAATTTGATCAACTTGCCCTTCTGCACATAGAGACTAACAATTAAACACTCTGACACTTCTGTATGAACAATGCTACACAGAAATAAGTTATATGCTATTGATAAATGTACCTATTGTTTAACACTCAGAATTTTCAGTGTTTCTGTAATGCCTGTAAGCAGTCATGCTACAGTGCTAACATTAAAACAAAGCATTGCATGTTCAAAAAGTCAAATTGGAACAGGCTGTACTATAATACAAATAATATATAAACTTTTTATAAAACTGAATCAGTGAAATGCATTTTCTCCTAGAAGATGCAATCTTTGAACACTTGTTTCTTTGTATTTATCCCCATTCATAGAACTGGAATGGACCTCGAGAGGTGTTCTAGCACTCAATGCAGAACTAAGTTATCTAGACCAGACCATCC